CTGCTGATGCCGACGTTTTTTAGGGACAGGGAGAGGCCGACGGCATACGCTGAAGCAAACACCGACTGGAAGCGATCGGCCGCCTGGTGGGATGGGATGGAGGCGTGCAGGCATGTGGTGAGGCATGCAGGCAGCTGCCTTGTGGGTTGTGACGGCCGCGTGGGCAGAAGTCACTGCTGCTCATGGTGCAGATGAATGCGCACAAGAAAGCAGACTGCTGATGCATCGGGACCCATGCCACGTGTGCTTGGCGGTACGCTGACATGGCGCCGCCCTACGGGTCCCTGATCACTTGACAGTGATTTTGCCAAACGCTGCGCCAATGCCAGCGCCCCACCTTTGAGTCTCCCAGCAGCGATGCGCAGCCCCAGCCCAGGCTGGCCAGTTTCGGGGGTGCAACCGTCACGTCCACCTCGTAGGTGGCCCCGTCCGCCGTCGCCCCCACCACCGGCCGCCCGGCGGCCGCGCGCGCGGCGTTCGCGGTGCTGCGGCGCTCGAGGGTGACCGGTAGCAGCACGGCGGCGACGGCGATGCCCAGCAGGCAGCCCAGAATGACTAATGGCACCTTGCAGCGCGTAGGGCCGCGCGCGCAACACCACCGCCTTCTGGGGGCTGCTGCGACTTCAGCTGTGGTGGCGGCAGCGGGCAAAGAGGACTTTGATTCGGGTTTGCCGCCGCTGGCGTGCTGATCTGAGATCACTAGGGTGACCTCTACAGGGCTCCCGGGCTGCACCTCGTCGGCGCCGCTGGCGCTGGCGCATGCCGTTCCGCTGCGGGCGCCGACATCAACGCCGTCGCTGGAAGGGACGCAAGCCACAGACTCCTCCTTGGATGCTGCGACCTGTGGCGCATCGCTCGCGTCGGACGCCGCCCCCACCCCTAATACGCCTGGGAGCGCAGCCAGCAGCGGCTGGGCGCGGACACTGCCGCCCGCTGTCGAGCGGCTGGGCGTCGCGGGGCTGGCGGGGCCGCCGCCGCTGACGGACACCCTCAGGGGTGTGCCGGGCGCTGATTCCGCGGCCGCGTCCAGATCCGAAGAGGCCAGGCGGAATGATCTGATTGAGGCCACGGCAGTGGACGTGCCCGACGCGTGCGACGCGCGCGACCGTGCCCGCGGCGTGCTGCTGGCAGTGCTGGCCCTGCTGGCTCCGCCGCCGGTGCCGCCGCCGCCGCCACCGCGGCGCAGCAGCAGCAGCTGTGCGAAGCGGCTGTCAGCAACGGCGCGCGCTATGCTCATGGGGCTGCTGCTGGCCGGGACGGCGCGCTCGACGTCTGCAGCACCGTCGGGTTCAGCGGGCTGTTGCTGCAACGGCAGGCTGCTGACAGGCGCGGGCGGCTTGGCGCTGCTGCTGCTGCTAGTGTCGCTGCCGCTGGTACAGTTTTCTCGCAAGCCACCATCGAGAGTGGTGCCTGTTGTTGTACGAGGGTGGGAGCCGTCATGAGGCACCAAAGCAGGTAGGGTCAGAACGAAGGCTGGATGGAGTGCTTGTGCATGGTTGACCCCTTCGCAGCAAGCAGCCATCTGCAGGTCGACTAGATGTCGTCTATCCCCTCTCACCCTGCATTGTTCCTCTTGAGCCGCTGCGGGTGGGCGAAACGGATTTGACACAAACCGCGTGCGACCGACGATCACAGCCCCGCAGGCTGCGGGCTGCGATCGACCGTTCCTATGTATATTAATCTATATGTGTCTAAGTAGTGATGCTCGCATTGTTCGCACGACTGTACTTGAGGTCCCAACAGGGTGCTCATGCAGGTGCTTCTCAGCTTCGCTTCGCAACAGGTTCTGCCACTCCGCACACCACAAGGCTGACAGGCCCATATGAGCATCTGAACATCATTTGAACATGACAACTTACGCCACTTGTTGATGCTTGTGCATGCGGGCTCGGAACCCTGAGCGGTTTTTGAGTTTCCGAGAACAGCGCGAATGCCGTGTGAATACATGTCCGTCGTTCCCCCGGTGGTGAGCGTGCCTGACTACACTGTAGGGTAAACGAATCCAATCAGATGAGGAAGGCGCATCCTGTCGCTTGGGGTATCTCGCCGCGGGTGTCCAAACCGAGTTTAGGCCACACGTGCTGGTTTGCTGGTGCTCAGGTGCACGGTCTTGGGTCATTCAATTGCGGCAAGACAGGGTCGAGGCCAGGCTGAAGCAGAATACCGTAAGGCATACGAGGGAGCAAAGCAAGCTAGGTCTGCGTTGCATGAGCATGTGCCCTGCAGGTTGCTGATGAGCATAATGGCCGCGGTTGTTGGTAGGAGTCGTGCCGCAGCCGTAGACCAACCTGAACAGATAGTTCCCATGCTCTCATGGGGTCATCTGGAGCCTGCAAGCCTGCAGCCGCCTGCCCGCAGGCTCCAAGATTGCAGCTTATCAACACCGCATTGACGATCTACACCGCCGCCTAGACATTCCCAATAAAAATTATAGTTTGATCACGGTTACTTGACAAGTACAGGGCTTATGCTGCCAGTGGTACGCATGGCAGCTCTCACAACTCCATCCGGCATGAGGGTATGCTCATGGGTTGGCAAGATTGCAGTGTAAACACACGCCCAAAAAACCAACAAGCTGTGCGCTTAGCGGACAGAGTGCGCGGCGCAAGCTGCTGCCGCACACTGCAATGGTGGCGTAGACATCCAAGACACACAATATAGACGCTCCATCCAGCCTCACGATCATCATCAGATGGCGGAGTCATCACAAGAATCTCACCCAATACACCAGCACACACGCAAGACACGGCAACGCTGACCAGCATGTGCTGCCAGGACTCAGTGCAGCCAGACACCTCGTTGGTGCCTTACAGGGTGCCGCCGATGGCGCGTCCCGCCTCGGCCTGCCCTGAGTATGCCGCCTGCACGTCCTGCTGCAGCTCCCCAAACCGGCCCCAGTAGTTGGTCATCGTGCTGTCATACTTCTCCTTCTGTTTGTTTGTTGATTATGGGAATTGAGAATGGAAAGGAAGCGCACGGGGGGTTCAGAGAATGCGTGGTGATAGGGCAAGAAGGGGTGACGGTCTGCGTGAGAATGCACTCGGCGCAGGTGCGGCAGGCAATACTGAGCTGGCAAGGGTGATTCCCCCCTCGGTGGCGACCGCAGCAGGCAGGCCACTCACGAAGTCAAAGAAGAGCGTCTTGCCCTTGGCAAAGAGAGAAACCAGGCTGTAGCTGTTGAGCTTCCGTACCTGCGTGTTTTGGGTGTTTGGTGTCGGCAGTGGAAGGCAGTGCCAGTGGCAGCAAGTCGGCGCTCGTGACGCACAGACGTGACTGGCGGGGTCTGAAGAGCACTTTGCAACGATATCTGCGGCTGGTGAACGTGGCCACCATCACAGGGAGCCATGGGCAAACCTGCAAACCATCACACAGCCGCGCGATGTCAAGCACCCACCTGAGACGCCGTCGTAAATGCAGCGCCGCCGGAGTCCAGCCCATCATACGCAAAGTTGACGCTAGCGGCACAACTGCGGCGGTCACAGGTTTGATCATGGTCAACGACCATTGACAAAACATTCCATGTCAGGGTTCCAACCTCGCCGTAAACATGTCGATTGGTGCAGTGCCAAGGTCTGGAGGCCAAGCGTCAGGGTGGCTTTAACCCCATGCAGCAACCTGCACATGCGAGCATCAACATGGAGTTCCCTTCTCAGAAACCACTGAACATGGACTACAGGGTCGTACGGGAGGACTCACTAGGTGAACTGCGTGTAGTTGCAGACCGGCAGGGGCTCCCCTGTCGCATTCAAAAGGTGGCGCGCCGCGCCACCCCCAACTGCTGCCGCCGCAACGTCCTGCGGGGCCGGGGTCGGCTCCGCTGCTCCTGCGCTGGCCGCATCCCCTGAAGGCCCGCCTGCAGGTTGCTGCAGGACCGCCGCTGCAGGGGGCGCCGCAGCCGCTGCGGCCGCCGCGGGCGAGGCCGCGGCGGCCGGCGTCGCAGGGGCGGCTGCATCAGCGGGCGCCGGCGACGACGCGTTCCCTGCCGCTGCCGCTGCCGCCGGCGTCGATTCGTTCCCTGACGCCGCTGCCACCGCCGCCGCCGGCGGGGGCGGCACGTATGCGGATGGCTTGGGCATGGTGGGCGCCGCGACGTTGGCGCAAGTGCAGTTTGAAACGGGCAGAGTGCAGGACGTGCCCAGGAGGCAGCGGCCGCTCTGCCAGCCGCCGCAGTCGTTGCAAGTGAGGTTGTAAAACTGGAGGTACTTCAGAACGCCAGTCTCTGCAGCGATGGAGAGTGTGTTGTTGGCAAGACGTCGGATGGGAACCGCCACACAATTTCCAGCATGCCACCTCGATATTGAAGGCCTTGAGTTGCTCAAGTGGTGCTCACTTGCCAGCATAGTACAGTGCTGCCCGGGCACCTGATGCGCACACTTTCATCCTCTCCAGCTTGAGGCGGCCCAGACGCCCCCAATTACGCAAGCGCCTGCGTCATCATCCGGAAATGTGCACACCATGCTGCTTTGCAGTTACATATCACGCCCGCTGCTCCACCACTGGGCCTCTGCTCACCAAACTTGGACATGAGGGAGAGCGTGGAAACGAACCCCGTGCCACCAGTGATGGCCGGCGCGCCGCTCACCACATACCTCGCCTCGGAGCGCACATTTGACCTGCAGCCATCAGGGCGGCGAAGCGAACATGAACACCCCCGCTCCGCGGCGGCCAGAGCGCCGGCGCTGCGGCGTCACCAATTTCCTCCTGCTCTTCGTTCGCAACCTGCTCGTCTGCCGTCTGGAACGGGCGACTATGCTTGATTTCAGAGCTAGCCAAAGCAGGCCAAAACCAGTGAAGGTGATGGTACTTAAGTTCTGACTGCTGCACAAGATACAGGCGGGGGATGCTCACCTGAACGCCACCACCGAGATGACGAGCGGCGCACCCTCCGCCGACGCCGCTGTTAGCGCGAGCTGCTCTGGGAACGTCGTCTTGAGGACGCTCAGCTTGTCGATGCGGGTATTGTACGCCGCAAAGTGCACGCCAAGCGATGTCTGCGCGTGTATGCGTGTTGTTTTGGAAGTCGGGTGCGGGCCATGTCCTGCAGGCCTTGTTGGACGTGTGCACAAGCACAGCGCCGCGGCGTGGGGCGCGCAGTGGTCACCAATGGAGCTCACCAGGTTGGCGCGCTGCGTCTCGTTGCAAGGCTGTATGCCTGTGGTGGGATCTCCCCAGTCGGCCTCCTTACCTCCCGGCCAGAAGGCCAAGCCAACGACGAAGCCACCCGTGCCCTGCGTAATGGGTCGAACCCGCGTCCCTGTGAACGGAGATCCTCCAGGATCGTGGAATAGCAATCATATAATTGTTTAATACCTTTCTGATGGGCTCTACAGGCTGGCAAGGGTCGAATGTGATGGACAAGACCGAGGGCAGCAGTGTCACAGCCATCGCGAGGGCCACGGAGGCCCGTGGACGGGCCATTGAATTAAGGACACTGTTTATTGCAACATAAGCTGCGGTAACGAGTGCGACAAGCGTTCTTGATCGGTGCTGTTGCACAGCGGGCTGGGTCCACTGCTCGACAGAACATCAGCTGTATGAGATGTCTTATCGCTGGTATTGGCCGCGATCACCAATCTTTACTGACATGTTCGTCCTGGGTATGTTGATATAGCCTGGTCACCAAAAGTTGTCGCTACCTGGCGCTCCGCCAGTGCCTGCGCCAATGGAGCCACTTGCTCATTTGCGCTGTCATATCTTGCGCACCCTAGAGTGCATGGAATTACCGGAATCACTTCAACGTCTTTGAAACATTGCATAGGCTTTACTGTACCCGCATCAGCTGGATGGATGGGGCTTCGATCGATGGCAGGGGGACGAGAGAAAGCAACTGAGCAACTGCACACAATGTTGGTGTGCCTGTTGCTGGGATCCGCAGAAGTTGGAGACTGTGAGCTTTACTTGAGCTCGTCACTTCATCGCTGTTCGAAGGCAGCACATATTGCTGACATGTGCGGGTTGATGATGCATGACTATTGGCGGATGCAGCCAGAAAAAGGGACCGGCAGGGGGACGGTTTTGACATCGCCTTTGGGGGAGGTAACAAATTGGGATACCCTGTGTTTAGCTATCATATGCCTCGAATTGGCTACGCTCCTCGATATCAATCCCGAAGCACAAAATGGTACCCGCCTGCAGTGTAGGGTAGGTGCTTGGAGCCTTCACCACACTCCACGGCACGCACACTTACTGCACGCTCGCCGCACACTGAAGTCAGCTGGCCTGATCTGTGCCATAAATTTCTGAGTAACCTTTAGGCTGTACTTGATCGGTAACGCAGGCTTTGGCGGTGCAGGCTTCGCAACCTCAGCGGCACCAGCTGCACACCAGGTGGCCGCCACGTGTGCGCCGTGCACCATTGAACACCCGTTCGGGCGCTTGGCCTGCTCAATTGCACAGCACCGTTACCTTCAACGTCCCACACCTACCACAGCTGCAGATTCGATGAGGATGCAGCAGCATACCCTGCTCGCACATGGCAGGGTGCCGGTGCGAGGTGCACGCGGGCTCGTGGCACCCTGCGGGCGCAAGGATCGTGCCTTGCTTATGCGCAGGGCCATGACCTCGGTGGAGAGCCTGTCTATCGACGAGGAAGGCGAGTGCCTGTGTCTGTGTGCGTTTTGGTTCTGCGCCTTCTAGGCGTATGTGCAGCCCTGGGGTGGCTGTGGATCGTGCCCTGCGCCATCAGAGGCAAGGTCTTGCACCACCCATTGGCCGCGGTCGCTCGGGAAAGTTCCGCCGCCGTGCTGGGTGCCGTCGGTGTGTCTCGCCCCTGGCGCGTGCTCGCTCAACCGGCTCGCCCTCGTGCCAGCAGCGGCCCCTTTGCCAGATGCGCCGCGTGCTCAAGCTCTGCAGCGGGTCGACACCGCCTACCTCAGGCTTATGCAGCTGGACCGAACCAGTGCAGCACGCAGCCTCAGGTAGCCAACTGGAAAAACCCTCCCAACCAAACAACTCGCGCCCACAGGCATCCTCCGATGGGACGTCCTGGACGCCGCCGCCAGCCGTATCAATAACATCCCCGTGCTGTCCCGCTACACGCTGCGTCCGGGCCAAAAGCCGGCGAGCGCCCCGGGGGCGACGCTGCCGACTCAGTGAGCCGCCCGCCCGGCCCCGCCCCGCCGTCCGCCGCGGCGCGAGACCCCGGACTCAGCAGATTCCAGCGACCCCAGCGGCTGGATCACCTTGGACGCGCGAATGCAGGGCAGCCTGGCAGCTGCGAGCGGGCGCGGCGGCACGCGTCAGCCGCTAGCAGTGCTCGGACAACCCGCTTCCGCCTCCCCCTCGACCCACTCTGCCCGCCTGCCAGGGGCTCGGCCCCGCGCACACTATTGATGGACTGCACTCCCCGCCGCGCAGGCCCAACGCCCACAAGTCGAGCAGCAAGCCCCTGGTGTTCTTCCGCGACACCAACGGCTGGTGCCCCTACTGCGCGCGCGTTTGGCTTGCGCTGGAGGAGAAGGGCATCGAGTACGACTCCGTGCTTATAGACCTGTATGCCAAGCCTGACTGGTGGGACTGGGTGTGGAGGCGGGGTGCTGCGTGGTCTGTTGCGCGCGTTCGAGGGTGCAGGGGGGGTTCGTGCGTGTGTGCAAGCGTGCATGTGTCTGTGTGTGTGTGTGTGTGTGTGTGTGTGTGTGTGTGTGTGTTTGCGGGGCCGCGCAGACCAAGGAGACAGCAGGCTTGCAGCACGCAGGCTTGCGCGCGGCCGAGCGCACAAAAGCGAGCTCGTTTTGAACGGCGGCTGCAGTATGGCACGACGCCATCTGCGCCGTGCATCCAGCTGCCCGCTGCCCATGCTCTGTCAAACCCGGTCAAAGCCAAGCACCCACATGTCGCTCGACTGGCATCCCAATCGCGCCAGACCGCACAGCCCATGCACCCCGCACGCACCCACATGAAACGTGCGCTTTTGGTCTTTTCGCCTATTGTTGCGCTCGTGTTTTGGAGGTGCAAACAGCACACCCTCGACCTTTGTTTCAGGAAGGGTATGACTGACCTGGACTCACCTGGGGTCATGCGGCACCACCCACGTGCGCCCCCCAACCCCCCCCCCCCCAAAAAAACAATCCTACAGGTACTCATCCATGGTGCCGACCAACCTGGTGCCAGCCGTGAACCTGCTGCCCGCAAAGGCGTCCGGCGACTGGGGGGCCCCCAACGGCAACGGCGGCGGCCACCAGGACGCGGAGCCGCTCGTTGTGTGGGAGAGCAAGTGCGCCGCGCGCCCCGGGCCGGCCGGCCGGCTTGCGACGTCCGCGGCCGCTGCGGCGGCCCCGGCTCGCGGCCTGGGAGGGGCGGGGCGGGCAGGGCGCGGGGCGGCAGGAGCTTTTCCGGCAGCAGGGGCCCCGCGTGCGGCATACATCCACCTCCTTTCCATACATCAGGCCTCCAGCTTTTCGTACGCCCAGCCGAGCACGTTCTTTCCCATCTGGGTGCCCCCCAATCCTATGAAACTCACAGGGACATCCTGTTGGCCCTGGAAGAGCGCTTCCCCGACGCCCCCAGCCTGCTGCCCGCTGACGAGGCGGATCGCAAGGAGGTGCGGCCCCGCAACACAGGGCCACCGGCCCCCCTCCTGCCACATCGTGCCCCCCATCATCGCACATACACACACATGCACACGCACTCTTCGGCAGAGGTTGCCAGGCCGCGCGCGTGTGCGCCTGCCATGCGTCCGGGCGCCGGTCGCAGTTGCTGCTCGACCATGCGCTGTGTTTGCCCCAGTCACCCCGCGCTGCAGCGCTTCGGGCTATATGTCCAGCCCACTCCGAGGTGCAGAACAACAACCCTCTCCCCTGCAACTATACAAAGCCATGCATCATAAGTAACCCTCTCCACCCCCTCGCATCTTCCCGCCGCAATCCCATCGCCGCAGCTGATGTCATTCCTGGACGAGCTCGGCGAAGCCGGCGTGGAGCGCGCGGGTGAGCAACGAGTTGCCCTGCGGTCAGCGGCGCCTCGCCCCGGCGTCACCCTGTGACGGCGGGGCGTGGCGCCCTGCGCAGCTGCCCGGCGGGCGTCGTCTCTGCACAGGCCGAGCTTGCACTGCGCCCTTTCAGTCGAGCACAGAACCTCGGTGGTCTTCCATGCGCCGCCACCCCCTGCTGCGGGCGCCGCATGTGTGGGGGCCCAGCCGCGCGCCTGCAAGCTCCGGCACGCCGCCGCCTTGGATGCGGTGCGGCGCCCGTCCGTTGTCCGCGGCGCGCCAATGCTTTGGCTCATTTCATCATGTCGCACCTCGCCAACGCAATGGAATCTCCCGCTGCCCAGGCTTCAGCTTCATGACGGGCGGCCGCCTGCTGGGTGACAGCCAGGCGACCGCCAACCACGGCGCCGAGCTTGTGGAGTCACTCCGGGTGGGGCAGCAGGCGGGCTCGTGCGCGAGCATGTGTGTGTGTGTGTGTGTATGTGTGAATATGAGCTTTCCTGTGTGCGTGTGCAGGGCTGCAACAGCCCTGACGTCGCCACAACACCTCACTCCCTCTCGACCATCCTCTCAATCTGGGCTTCTCGGACCCACGACCTCCCTATCCTGCACCACCCCAGCCCCTGGTCCCATCACTCCCAGAACCCTTCACATTTCCCAGACCACCAACATATCCACAAGTTTCAAAGACGATTTGCCCACCATAATCAACTGATTGCAACCCCCAAAACCCCCAGGTCACCTTCCTGGAGAAGTTGTCCTGGCTTGAGGCCAAGTTTGCGGCGCGCGGGGGGCCCTACCTGATGGGGTCCCAGTTCACCATCGGCGACATCATGTGCATCAGCTTCATGGAGCGCCTCGCGGCGGGTGGGCGCGGACTTACGTCGGGCTTTCCGTCGGTGCCCTCGTGGCCAGGGGCTTGGGGGCGGCCGCCGCCGGATCGGCGCGTGCTGTGCCGAGCCGTCGCCACGGCTCAACGGACAGTGGTGGCAAGAGGTGGCGCAACAGGGGGTCGTTTCAATCAAGCTTCTGCCTGCTTCGACCCGACCTCCTGAAACCCCACCCCCCCAGGCCTGCCCAAGTTCCGCGGCCTGCAGCTGCGCAACCACCCCGACTTCCCTGCAGTCGCCCAGTGAGCGCCGCCCGGCCCCTGCCCTTCAACACTCACACATGGCTGTCTCCAGACGCACACACAAAAACACACACATGCTACAGATCTTGCTGATGTACGGTTGACCTGCTGCTGAGGCTCAGCCGGCCGTTTTGTGTCAAAAGCAGATTGGACGGCGACGCGGCCTTCTGTGCAGAACTTTGGTGGCTCACCCGCCCTTGTACCCCGCCTATGCGCCGTGTCCAGGTGGCTGGCGGCCATGGAGGCGCGGCCGACGTACCAGCGCGTCCGCAGCGACGACCAGACGCTGCAGGTGAGATGGCGGGCTGCGGGATCCAGGGTTCAAGGTTTCAGAGGTCAGGGTTCGAGGCTGGTCCTTGCAGTGGTGCACTGAGCAGTGCCCTGCACCACGCGTCTCCACCTCAGAGGCTCGAACTGTTGAGATCCCACCCAAACTTGTTACGAGGTAGCCTCGCCCTTCCCGCGCTTTGTCGACACACCCCAAACATAAACCTCCAATCGGCAGTTGCTCTTCGCCCGCATGATGCGCGGCTCGACCGCCGCCGCCGACTCGGCCGCGCTGGCGTGGCAGCAGGAGCAGCGGCAGGGCGGCGGCGCGCTCGCGGAGGCGCGCGCGGAGGCGGCGGCGGCGCTGGAGGCGGGGCGCAAGGACCTGGTGAAGGCCCTGATTCTGGGCAGCGGCATATGCAGGTGTGATTTGGGGGGGGGGCGTTGCGTTCTGGTTTGTTGCCGATGTTGCAGCTCTGACGCCTGGCGCCTGGGCCTGAGGCATGCGGGAAGCCCAGGATGCACGTTGCTGTGACAGGGGTTCGAACTTTGAGCCCATCGTTGCGCTGACTCAGCAATCACGATGCAATGCATGCAAGTCGCGGACCCTGTGTTGCCGTGCTGCACCGGAACGGACCCGCTTCGCACATGCTCTTCTTGCCTGCTCAGCTGTCAGAGATACTCCACGTTTGCAGATTTCAGGAAAATCCCCAACGTTCAACATGCAACGTCTACAGCGAATACATGTTGTTATGATTTTACTGATTCAACGCGCAGGTACCAGGCCAACCCCTACGGGGCGACGCTGCTGTCAGTCAATGGCCACCGCCCCACCATGGCCCCCGCTGTCATGGCCGCCATCACGCTGCAGCTGGACCGCATCATCGCAACACTCAAGACGGGTGCGTTGCGCGCGCGCGCATGTGTGTGTGTGTGTGGAGGCGGAGAGTGGACCAGTGAGCGTACGAGTGCTTGTCGCGCAGGTCTTGACTGCGAAGCGGTGCACGGCGGTGGGACCTGGCACGTCCGCATTACGCAGCTTTTGGCTGCGTGCCTCCTGATGCTGCCTTGTTGCCAGGACAGCGCTGCACCCGCGCGCTAGCCTGGGATGACAGGCAGTGAAATGAGCAGCCCGCCTCGATTCGCGACCAAATGTCACGGAGTTTCAAACGGGTCAGGTCGCCGTCTCTCCATGTCCCCTTTCACTGCCGAACCCTGTTCCTTGCACCTGGCTCCTGCCCGCCCTCCCTCAAAGGCGTCCCCGGCCCCCGCGCCGACGGCACTTCGGCCTGCGCGATGGGCGCTGCCGCCGCTGCCTACCTGCGGGCGCGCCACCGCGACATCGTGCAGCTGTCGCCCGCGGCGCAGGCGCAGCTGGAGCTCGCCTGCTCGCGCGTGCTGACGCAGGTGTGTTGGCGGCGCGTCCTCGCGCCCCGCACCATGAGCGGCGTCCCTTCGCATTGGCCCACCTTGGGTTTTGCAGGACTCCCTTACCCCACGCCTGCCTGAATGCTTCGTGGCCTGTGCCTTCATCGGTGCCATCGCCTGTGCAGCTTTATCACCCCCTTTGAGACCTTGCCGGCTGCCTCCAACCGCCCTCAACCTCCAATCGACACGACTGCAGACCTTTGCTGACCACGTGGATCCCATGCACTTTGAGCCAATGGTGGCCCCGACTTTCTCCGACCCCGCCGCGGGCGCCGCTGACGCCGACGCCGCCGCGGAGGGCGCCGCGCGCCCGGCGTCGCCGCCGGCCGCGGCGGGTGGTGGCGGCCCGGGCATCTTCAGTGACGCGGACCCTTTCGCTGTTGAGGCTGCGCTTAAGATCCAGGTCAACAGGTGCGTGCATGCTGCTGGGTCCACTCCCCAGCCGTCCCCTCGCGCTTCTCTGTGCGCACCTTGTACCAGGGACTGTTTGGGACTCGAGCGTCTACATGATGAGCGCCCCTCTCGTCCGTGCAAGCCCCGCCACGCAAAACCGAGTGCTCCTGAACCGCACGCCGTGAGCATCGTGCAACCTGAATCTGCCTCGCGAGGGGATGTTGGAGCGTTTCCCCCGACCCCTGGCTGCATTGCCCAACCGCCATCCGCCCGCCTTCCGCAGGGAGGCCATCCTCGAGGACATCGCCACAAAGTCCGGCATCGCGCGCCCCACCGCCTCCGCCTTTGGCCGCACCTTCGTGTCCTTCAACGGCGGCTCCCCGCGGCTCAACGCGGCGGTCAAGGAGGCCATTGACCTCCACCTCCGCCGCCTGGCGGGCCTGCTGCTGGTGCGGGGGGCGGCGGGGCGGGTTGGGGGCGGGGGCCGGGTGTGTGTGTGGTCGCCTTTGGCGGGCGCGCTGCTTCTCGCATTTGTGCCCCTCCGATGTTGAGTGTGTGGCAGGTGTTCATGCATGCATGCAGGCAGGCAGGCAGTTGAGCCCATCTCTCAAGAGCTTTGCGATCCCTGCGCTGCCCACATGGGGAGTGGGCAGCTCAAAGCGCGGGGCTGCCTAAGTCCAGCACGATGCGGCCTGATCCGCCCTGACCTTCGCCCATCTGCACCCCCTCAGCAACTGAACTCATCAAGCTACGCACGCACACCTCCCTCCGCCCCGCAAACCCTGCGGCGACCAGACCGGCAACGCGGGCCCTAAGGCCGACGACCCGGAGGCGGCGGCCATCGGCGCCGCGTCGCTGGCGTTCTTCCGCAACCGCGCCTCGGCGCCCCGCGACATGAGCGCCACCGCCGCGGAGCGCTTCAGGGCTGCCTGCGACAAGGTGCTTCTGGACATCTACTGATCTGTGTGCAAGAGATCCGGTCACGTGGATCAGCGCGCTGGCGACCGTGGTGGTGTGCAAGCAGCAGTGGTGATGTGCAAGCAGCAGCACTTGGGGCCTGGAGCCAGCATGGTTTGGTGTACCCCATGCGCTGCTTGCCCCAGGCTCTGCGTGTCCTCGTCGCGCACGGTCAGCCTGTGTTCATTTCTTTTCTTAGAGCGCCCTTAATTGCCTGGATGCTCATTTGTCTCGCGCCTTGCCATAACGCGATGCGAGGGAAGCGCGCACCCAGCTGCTGCCTGCAGCTGGTTGGGGCCGTTTCGAGCATACAATGTCGCGCATGGGCATGCACTGCATCACGGCCTCTAGTTCAATCGCAAAGGGGTCCTCCAGAAAGTCAAACATAGTCAAACATTATTCACGTGGTCGAGCTGCCCGTCCATGGGCAGCCTTGGTGTGCTGTGGCTGTTCAACCCCTCACATCCAGTTTGAGGCAGGTGTCGGTTGGTTGTGTTTCGCAAATGCGTTTGAGGCGGCAGCATTGGGGCCTTGGGCAGCAAATGGAGTTGTGTCATCTTGGTGCCCAACAGGCAGTCTTGCACAGGGCGGCCTGCCAAAGCGGCGAGAGCTTTCATGTTATGGCGCAGGGTCCAAGCTCGCGGGCCCCGCAGTGGGCGCAATTGCACCCTGCCTGTGCACCACCGTGGCCCTGGCCAAGGCGATCATGACAGCGTGGCTACTCTCTGCTTTTGGGAGACAGGCGTGTCCGTTTATTGATGTTGTATTTGTAGTCTTGATGGGGCTGCTGTGGGTCCATTCGTGTAAATATATGTTTTGACCACCTGCTTACACGTGCATGCGGGTCTAAATAGGTAAGTGGTCGAGTTGGTGGCTGAAAGCGGCAGTGCGATGTTGCCAGATCTAGCGGGTGCGCGATGGTGTTGGACAGCACGATGGTGTTTTGACAGCATTGTATCTTGCTTGATGTTGACTTTGTGGAGGCGCCCACCTGCTGGCCACGAAGATCGATCACAGCAGCCACAGGGCAAAGAAAAGGAAAGACGGGACTGCAAGCAGGGTTTTCAGGACGCAAGAAGGCGTCCCTGGTCCCAAGGGCGAAAAGTGCAAATCCACGCGCACGCTTGATGAATGTCATCCAGGCTGTTGACGAACCCCCCAGCACCTGGGAGCGGCGCGGTACGATGCATTCTGCTGCGTCGCACACAAACCAGACAGACGCAATGGCAACAGGCCAGAGGCGTGCTGCCGGCGCATGATGTCGAGAGAAAATGAAGTGGTGCTCAAGCCCTGCGCAGGGCCCAGGGCATTCGATTCGCCGAGGCGCACGGGACTGGGCAAGGCCACCAAGTGGAAGACCCCTGCTTTGCACGAAGGGAGCAGTCTTGAATCATCACAAAAAGTGGATTCTATCTGCGTTCGTGTGGTGGAGTTGTAAAGTTCATTTGCTTGCAAGTGCCACGCCGTTGATTTTTGACAGGCACCTGCAGTAAATCACACTCGGCCGCCAACCCCCAGACGCCACTTTGGCGCTGTGCACACTGTGATTCTCTTTCTGCCAGTTGCAACTGGCGCCGTGATGGTCCTGCGCCGTCCCGTGCACATGCAAGTTTTCGGCCGATTCCGGCAGACACCCATCCCAGTTGATTTTAGTGATGGGCCGCATTCCTGTGACGTCCATCGTTGACGGCCACGGCCCCCGCCGCGCCGCCATGCAGCCCAGGTCTGAAGCTGCCGCCGCCCGCGCAAGTCCCGTGCGGCGGCACAGGAACAGGGCCTGTCGTGCCGGGCGGGCGTTCCATCATGTATTCCAGTCCCACAGGGGAGCTCAAACCGAGTGGCCCCGCCGTCGCCATCCCGCCGGGCCCCATCATCACAAGTGACTCATTGCCGACCATGGACGCGGGCCGCCCATCCCCACGTGGCGGCAGGCCCAGGACATGCATTTTGACAGTCTCCTCCACATTGACCTGGCAAGAGAGGGATGCACGGATTGCAGGTGTTGCGTGGGCCGCAAGACGGCCAATTTGCAGCCTTGACAGGCAGGCTGCCTCCGAGGGGCGCGAGCGGCCCGGGTGCACAAGGGATCTGGGGTTGGATGAGTCATGCAGCATGAATTGTGACGTGTTGGCTTGTGGCAGTCACCCCCTCCCCTCCGGCAGCCCTCACTTCTGCTGGCAGCTGACTCAGCACGCCGGCGATCGCCTTGGACTCCTCGTGAAGCAGCCTCACATACGGCCTGGAGGTGAGGCATGTGTGTGTGTGTGTGTGTGTGTGTGTTCGCGTGCGTGTGTGATCTGGATTCCTGGCATTGTGGCCTCATATGATGGACCTGTACGCTCTGCACCTGCCCCTCCCCGAGTGCTTCCCTTCTCAGCACCATTCACATCCATGGACATCGCCTCTACCTCCCCCCAACCCACCTGCAAAGCAGCGCCATGAAGCCCAGAAAGACGAATATGGTGATCACCAGCATAATCTGGTGCAGCTGCGTCACTTGATGAAACTTGCTGATGGTGTGGGCTGCAACGTACCGTGTACAAGCGCGGGCATGTCGTGACGAGGTGCGCATGTGACCAAGCAAGGCATTGGGGGCGTGCTGAGCTGCAGGCGCAACCAGGAGGTTGGGATTGAGAACAGCTGCTGGGTGAATTGTTGTGGGTGCAACGCTCAGCAGTCGCGTGCGTCCCATGCAGCTGATGACCCGGACCCCTCACTCTCGAAAAGGTCCACGGCGCGGTAGATCCTGCTCGGCGGCAAGGGGGGATACAGGTGGCGTTGGTTGGGCCAAGCAGGACTCAGCAATGGTTTTGATTCATGTCGTTGATGGGGCGTAGGGCGAAGCGGTTGATGCTAGGTTGCTCAAGACCACGCACCCCCGCGTGCGGGCTCGCCACGCTGACTAGCCTGGCTCAGATGGGATCTCACCCTTCGACCATGTCATTGGGCCCGATTGTATTCAGCCACAGAAACCTGCAGCCATGAGTTCAAAAGAGATGTTATAAGTGGGCCGCAATGACGGTGAGATGAGTGCATTCAGGGTATGAGCGCTGAGTGGTCAGAGTGCGAGCAGCACCTCACCAACGCGTGCGCTCGTCAGTCAACGTGCTGCGTCCACACCCCCTCCTTGACAGGTGCATCGACCCCGCATGCCCTACACCGCCAGGCCCCTTACGTCGTGTGGTTAGCCAGGGCCAGCTCTGGTGGCAAGTGGCAGAACGCCTCGCTCAAGTCCATGTATCGCTCCACCATTGCATCAAGCCCGCGATGCGTGATTTGAAAGTAGGGGCTGTCGGGCTTGAAGCATGTGTTCTTGTCGTTCCGGACGCACTCATCAGTCCTGGGGGTTAGAGGTGGCGGATCCGGTGTATGCACAACAATCCATTGAAAAACGTGTCTGCGGGCGTGTGTGCCGGGTGAGCAGTTTGAGTTCGCTTTTATCAAGCTGAGAGACCGCATCACGTGGTGTCACAGCTGTGTGCTGCCGTTGCAGCTGATGACATCACCTCAGGTAAACAAGTGTGACCCTGCTCAAGACCAGGAATGCATCTCAACACCCCCCCTCCCTGGTCCCACCAACCTGAAGAAGAGCTCAGCAAAATCGGCGTTGGCAAACGCAGCCGCTGGTGTCTCGGTGCGATACGTAACACCGTCGGCGACTGAGCGGTGAGACGGTGGGACAGGAGTTGAGGCAAAGGGGGTAAGGGGATGAAGAATTGTGGTGGCTGGGGTGGGGTGTGATATATTCCCTGCCCATCATCAAACACAGAGCTGAGCGGCAAGCTCTGCAGTGTGCGAAGCCAGCACGCATGCACAACAGCTGTAGATCTGGGGTGGCATGATACCACCTGCTGTCTGCAGATCGACACCTCCGATGTATTGCGTGCAGAAACAATATGCACGCTGGCCTCCCACGTGTGGAACGTCCGCAAATGGCTCACTGTGATGAATGTTGCCGCCATACAACAGAGCATGATACCTGACAAAGTGCGCCGGACAGTTGGAAGGTGAGCGGGCTGAATGGATTGACTACAGCGTCATCACCTGTGATGCAGGCCGCCTGATTGTTGTGGTAGGCCACCACCACTGTCGGCGACAATGGTGAGGTGTGAGATTCACAGCCGGCGATGGCGTGCAGTGCCAACAACCAGCAATGCGGGAAGGGATGCAGAGCACGCTGTGTGCACCAACACCAGTCGGTGGTGCTGCCAGGGCAGGATGATCGCCTGGAGGCTGAGGAGAGTGCGTGGCCCATAAGAGGCACACTACTTTGCTCGTGAAGCACGATGCGGCCATTTTCTTGCGATTGATGCTGTCGCACGCCGGGTCTCTACGCTCACTCCTTCCTCATGTCAGCTATCGTCTGCAGCAGGGTGTCTCTGAAGCCGTCATGCTGACTGCGGTCGGTGTTGAAGGCCAGGTAGGTGCCCTGGACGAGGGGTGAGCACGGCGCGTTCGGAGTGCGGTCATCACAGCTCTACGGGAAACTACGTGCCAATCGACTGCAACAAAGCCCCACTGCGGCACCCACTGGTTGCACCGCCCGAGGAATGCGTCGGCAGTCGGACCATAGCCGTTCGACGGGCCACCCACCCGTTTCCCACCACGTGAGCCTGGAGCTCACCGTCAGGCGGACGGAGCTGAAGAGGTAAGTGACCCGCGCCGCCGCGTTCAGCGACGCTAGAGGCCCCTGCAGCCCGGCCAATCTCTGGAAGGAGATTCCAAACACCGCCAGGACAGCCACCGCCCACACGAGCAGCGGGAGCATAAGCTTCAGGACCACATTGTTGTTGGAGACCAGTTTCTTGCCGTTGAGCTACACGAAGGGCGTGTGGGGGGCGAGGGGCGGGCGCGGATGTGCGATAGCCTGCAACTGAGGGGAGGTGGGGGCTGAGAGACGGGCGCAACGAGACTAGTGTTCAGTTGATGCTGCCGGCAAGGGCCCCCACCTTGATATCGGAGTCCATCCAGGCCGACAGCAGCGCATGGCAGGGTTGCTGCCACAGCGTCTTGGGCAGCGGTGGCTTCTTGTCGTTCTTCGCCTTGGTAGCAGCGCTGCTGGGGCGGCTCTTTTTGCTGGCAGAATTTGCCTTGCCCTTTCTAGGGCTATCGTTTTCCTTGATTTTGTCTGTTGTGTTGCAGGACCATCAGGGAGGATGAGGGAAGATGTCTAGGGGCAAATTTAAGCCTTAGACTGCCCCGGTAGCCCATGCTCAGCTCAGGTCTGCGGAAAGCAGAGCCACGCTGTGTCTCCTGCATGCACACCTGACAACCCAGTCCTCACCGTCGTCGTCGGCCGCCAGGCGCACGCTCTTTGTGCCTCTCTTGCCACCCGCGTCTGCGGCGCCACTGGTGTTGGTGTAGCCGGCGCGACTCTGCTCATGAGTCATCAGCACCTCAAGATCGTCGTCGTCATCCACTTCCCCGTGCCCGTCATCATCGACCTATGCGTCAAAGTTTGTGTGCTGTCTTTGTACATGTGCTTTTCATGTTCGGATAGATAAAGTACAAATGTGCGGCCTGCAAAATGCAGAAGTGCCATTGAACATTCCCACATGCATGCCCCGGCAGACGTCTCGCTCGCTTGAGGGGAGGGTAATGGCCCCATACAATTTGTCCATGCCCAGCACAGCCATCCGCCTGCTCACCGCCATCTGCCGGCTAGCCATTATGCGTATGGTGGCTGATGGCAGGGCCAGGAAGACGCTGAAGCGCATCGCATGCTGGATGTTGACTGTGCGCAATAGGATGAACTGGTAGAACAGGCAGGCGCCCTGCAGGGTTTGGACGGAGAGGTGCAAAGCATGAGCATTTGAGGGAGAGGCTGCAACCTAGGCGGTGGTGACAGCACCGTTAGTGGGGGTGGGGGGCACACAACAACACAAAGGGAGGGCAGGGCATGCTCAGGTCTGGCCACTCGTCCAGCTTGTGCACACGCCATAGACCTTGTGCTGGTGCACGCACTGCGTCGTGTGCTGCAAACCGTCAACCACTGCCATAGTGCGTGCATCCCTGTGTCGCCCCTTAACCTCACATGCCCCACCAAACCCCAGCACTCGGGTCCGCACTTGGATCACCAAAGCCTCGACAATTAGCAGTACGATTAGCCAGCGGCTGAGGTTCCCAAGCAACATATAGGAAAAGTCCACCTGCAGATCAAGGCTCCACCTGCATGGGGGGAAGACAGGTGGGTGCGACATTTGGTCTTCACGCAGAAGGCTTGGGGCCATGGATATGTGCTCAGCAATACTTGCAAGCTTGAGATAAAACAGCGCGGGCAGCAACCTTGGCTAGGCAACACACTCAATTGATTGTCCTTCTGCATTTGCAAAAAGGTGGGTGCCGTGAACCCTGGAGGCATCCGACCTCAGCATATGCTGTCTATTTGCAAGGGGGGTCTTGTGCATGCTGCCGCACCTGTACCCAAACGACAGCGATTCTGGTCCGTTGAGGTGCATGTATCTGAATGAGGTTTCATTCTCAAGAGCTGCTCCTACACGCTGCCCGATGGAGTACACGTCATACCCGGCAGATATGAACCTGGTAGGTGCAAGGGTGTCGGGGCAGGTAGCAGCAAGGCCAATGCCTGAAGGTGAGAACTCACGTGTTTGTGTCGGTTTTTTGGGTGGGGGGGAGGGTGTGGGTGCAAATGTCGTGGACAGGAGTGGTGGAAACGGGGTGCAACAGCAGGGCAGCAAGGGGATACGGCAGGGTGCGACCATATACAGCAGCAGGGAGTGAATCGCTTGAAGCAATATGTGAGCAAGTCGGCCGCTGCCAAGCCTCAGAACAGGCCCCCATGCACCCAACTACCACCACCAAGTGGTGCTGCACCGTCGGTTTGTTTTGGGTCACATAGGAGTCTGTCAAGCCCAACCTGTTGCCCAGCTCCCACAAAGTCGCATTGCGAGAGCTCATAACTCCACTGCTGTTTGAGCTCCCTTGTCTCCACACCTGCATGAGCAAGCGCAAGCTTTGGGTCCAAGCACGCCTCCAGTGCCTTGCGCGGGTCATGTGAAAGGCAAGACCACTATTGCTGTGCGGCAGTTGCTGCATCAGCTGCGGGCATTCAGCTCGTCGTCCAAACTAGAACGAATGAATTGTGTCGGCAAACGTGTGCGTGTGTGGGGGCGTGTGCTTGTGGATGTGCGTGTGTGCAAATGTGTGTATGTGTGCGCGTGCGCGTGTGTGGGGGGTGGGTGGTTGGGAGGGGGGTGTTGATGCAGGCACCTCACCTGCTCTGGCAGCTTGTGGTGCGTCCAGAAGTCATACAGCCGCGGATCTGGGAATGCACTCAACTTGTTCTCGCCCAAGTACAGCTCCTGAGGCGCAGGGGAGCAACGTGGAGGGTTGCAGGAGTCCAAACAGAAGCTGAGAAGTCCAAACAGAAGCTGAGAACATACTGGCAGGTGCTCAGTGTAAAGGAATTTGATTTGTTCCTCTCCGGCAGTGTTTGAAGACCGCCCGCCCCACCCGATTGTGCGGCCCTGCTGTGCGCATGGCAAGATGCCAGCCGCAAGCGTGATGGCATGCATCCTCACCATGTGGCCCGCGTGGATGAGGTCAAGGTTGGTCAGCAGGCGCTTGTAGGAGTTCTTCTGGGACGCCGGAGAGCACACCTTGGGCAAGGGAGGGGGAATCTCAACAGTTGCTGGATACTGCCGTACACAGGCCTCATTTTTCAGTGGTGGTATCACATTGGACTTTGGCACGACGGAACTGGAATCAGCCTGCAAGGCTAGCGGCAGCCTGCTGCAGCGCAGCACCTCACAGGGAAGGGGTAACACTGCTGTGGTGCCGGTTGTCAGCAGCTGGTCAGTGCACAGTAGCAGACGAGGACCTTGTCAGACAGTCACAACCCTGCCCACAGGGATACAATCCCTGCGCTCACCTCAAAGCCGGCAAACTCGGGCAGGGAGCACCTCTGAGCAAAGTGAGTGCGCATGGCCACGCGCTGGAAGCGGTCGGTCGTGAAGGTCATGTCGCCAGTGCTGTTCATGTCCCTATGAAGAGATAGGGGATTGCAGGTGCTTGTAAAAGGGGCTACTGTGGTCAAAAGTGGTGTTTAATACAGTACGCCTCACACACGGGGGAGCTTTGCTGCCAGTAGACAAAATCGGCAGTTGATGCAAGACTCACCCCCGCGTTGTCAGACCTCAACACACCACTGACACTGGTTGCTAACCCACTCTCCCTGGTTGGGCTCGCACCCTCCCCAGCCAGCCTCGGTTTCCAGGCACTCACTCAGACCGTTTCTGTAGCTGGGTAGACAGTATGGCGTACCCCACAATGTGGGCCATCAGCAGCATGCCAACACACAGCCACGTGTGCTGCTGGAAGCGCAGTGTGCAGGATTGTGCTGCGGTGCTGGTCAGCATCCGCTTCAGCTTTTTCAGGCGCTTGGCGCGCCTGAAGGGTGAGCATGAAACATGTGGGGTGGGTCAGGTGCTTGGGCTGGCGGTCTGGTGATATTGACGCCAGACACGCATTTGTTCCCGTGCCCTTTAAAACGCAATCGAAGAGGCTGCATGCTGTACTTGGGGTGGCGTCCGGTGATTGGGGATACCAGCGGGACGTCAGCGATAACACACGTCAGGAGCTGACCAAGGGGGTGCGACCTCGAGCCAAGCACGGCCAGCAGCTCCACCAGGTGCCCCTGTTCACGGTACCCCTGGATCACCTGAAGTCTGAGGCTAGGTCCTCGTCAGCGTGATGGTCCCCTGCGGCAACGCTCTCGCCGTCGCCGGGCTCTGACCCAGACACCTGGCTCTCAGCGGCCTCGCCCATCGCCGCTGCACCAAGGCCAGGCTTGTTGCCGGCGCCCGGGGCGGGGTGGTGCGTGCGGCTGTCGTCGGCCAAGGCAGCGCTGTTGCCGCCGCCTCTGACAGGAGCAAGGCCAAGACCGCCGTCACGCAAACCGCCACTGCCTCTGCGGCCGCCCCCTTTCTTCTCCACCTCTGCTCCTCCGTCGCTCCTGTCCTCCTCCGCTGGTCGGCCCTTGTTGCATGCCTCTAACTGCCTGACCCACTCTGCCACGCGACTCCTGTTGAGATTTGGGTTGGTTGAGACCAGCATGGAGGCGGATTCATGCACCTCGCAGTTTGCCTTGATGTGCACATCATACAATTGAGCAAGCTGCAGCAGCCTGCGGCAGCAGTATGTCGACATAAAATTATTTGATGTCGACATATGTGTTTTGATGTGTTTTGCCGTTTTGGGGCAAAACACACCGACACGCGACACAAGCACTACCCGTCAGCAACTGCACACCTGGGGTCCTCCTGCGCTCTTTGCGCGCCTCGCAGCTCCGCATCACTGCCTCTGTCACCGCCAACGTTGGCTTCATCGTCCCCGCCTTTGTCCAGCGCCGCCACCTTGCGAAACCCGACGGGCTTCGAACCAGGACCAACCTTGCAGCCGGCCATCGCGCCCTGCTCGCCTGCAGCCTGACCACTGTCGCCGCTGCCGCCGGCGTTACTGCTGCCGCTGGACTCGCTGTCGCCGGTAGCGGCCCGGACGGGGAATGCGCCCGCAGGCGATAGTGTCACACTCTTGAGCGCCAGTAGTGGCTCCATGCTGCCGGCTGAGGGCTCTGCCAGCTGCAGGCGCACTGCGATTCTTTGTTCGCCACGAGTTGGCATGGACACAGCCTAGGGGCAGTGAGAAAGAGAGAGGGTGGTGAATTGAGAAAGCAAATGATGCTGGGAGTTATCAGGTTCGTGGATAAACAGTTAAGGGGTGTGGGTACTTGCCGGGGCTGGCGGCAGATTGCCCTGTAATGCAAGGTGTTCAACAGCAGGGTAACTGCCGCCATGGCGCCCAACTACCTGCACGAGGCAGATCGCCAGCCGGGCCTCTCATAATCCCGCCGGCCCACCAAGCACCATTCGGTCCACCTGGACACACACCCTTCCCCCACCTGCATGTGCAGCACCAGCGGCCCGCCGTCCGCATGCGTGGCGCGCAGCGTCTTGCGCACGCCGACCTTTGGTGCTGCGCCCGCCTTGAGGCCGCCCCTCTTCCCAGGCCCTGGAGCTCCTGTGGCAGCCGTCAACAGGTCGACGGCGGTGGCGCTCTGCGGCAGTCCGGCCAGCCTACCAATGGGAGGACGGACGGCCAGGGGAGCAAAGTGCTGGGGGTTTGGATGCATGCGAGGTCCTTGCACGTGACAGGGGAGCGCATGAGCAAGTTGCAAGACTCTACCATGCACGCAGTGGTGTCTGCGTTAGGATGCAGTGGGTTGTGCAGGGCCATGAATGTCATGTCTGTTCACCTTTTGAAGTCCATCTTGACCAGCAGCTTGCTGCTGACCCCGAACAGCAGCCCAGCGGCAGCATCCGCCCTCACAACTCTCAGCGCCTGGTCCAACTCAATGACTGCAGACAGTGCGTCAGCGCGCCACAGCACCAGCTGGAGCGACGCGTCACCCTCGTTTCCAGCCGCAGCTGTCGCAGAGGCCAGGATGGTGGTGGCAGCGAGGGATCCGCTGCCGCCGCGGGTGCAGGTGTCATCGTCGGGGTTTGCTGTGACGACGTGCGCCTGCAGCAGGGCTGGCCGCACGCGGCCGCGCTGCTGCACGGCGGCCATGAAGGAGGACACGCTCAAGCTGGCATCGTCCTCCTGGTTGCAGGTATGTGGCGAGTATGTGGCAAGAGGTTGCACACCATACACAACACACGAATTAGTTTGGGGACCGAAGAGGATTAATTGGTGGTCACAGGCCCATAATCCCGTGTTCAAACGACAGGGAGGAAGTGGCACTGCAAGCAGCCTGTTTTGTGGGGCTGCTGTACTACATCCATGCATGCGTAGAGGGCTCAGTGTTTGTGCATCAGCAAGGAGATGTGAATGTGTGTGCGCAGCGCTCTTTGCCTGTATCAACCCACCTTGGCACCTGCGTGTCCCCTGGTGAGCACCCCCACACGCCATGCATCCTCTGCACCCTCCAACGCTCTGACCCCCAGGGCTGTGAGCAGCGACTCATCCTCCCCGTGCCTGCTGGCCCACTCTTCAAACACGTTGACAACGGAGCGCACGGGCCGCCCCACCATGTCCTGTGATCAGCGGGCGGGGCGGGGGTGTTTGGTTTGTGCAGGCACGTCGAGTGAGATTGCAAGAGGGGGAGCACAACGGGTTACCCAAATCAGCAGACAGGGTCACGAGTTGACATAGTAATCCAAAAAGCCTGCTCAAACTGGCCCGCGCAGCTTGATGTGTTGCCTTTGCAAGGGTGTTGTCGGCAAGGACGTGCGCGAACCAGGAGTGTTGCAGGCCAAGGGAGGGAACCCAACGCCACAGATGCCCGCGCCCCACCTAGCGGCGACTCAGCAGCAGCCCCAGTCTCCTACCTGCGGATTGAAGCCAAATAGCGCCCTGGTCGCCCCAGGGTTGACGCGCGTGATGACCCCGTCCCCGTCTACCCCCAGCACCAGCTGCGCCCTGTCCATGGCGGCCTCGTCGGACGAGGGCGTCACGCGGACCGTGTGCTGCACGTGCTCCCCGTCGTCGTGGGTGGAGAGCTGCAGGGTGACCGGCACCCTCACCCCGTTGGAGCGCAGCAGGTGGACCACGGCGCCGGCGCGGCAGCTGTTGGCAGGCGGCTTGCTGGCCATGTCCTTGACACAGGGAGGGATGTTGGGATTGGGTCGACGGTGTGGGGGTTGGGGCGTGTGGTTCATGCCCCCTGGGCAAGAGCGATCAGGCGCCACGCAGGCAGGACAGGTCTTATGGAGTAAGGTAAGCCACAGAGAAGAATGGGGGGGGGGGGGGGAGAACAACCGTTAAAAGATTGCATCACAAACTGCACCAGAGTGTGCCGTCAATGTGAAGAGTGGTGGCTGTCGTGCGTCTTAACGCGCTCACAACAGCGACAAAATCGTTGCTTAGCAGGGCTGATCATGCCATCGTCTGCCCCTTGCGCCTGTAAACGGACACCTGCAAGCCAGGGTGCCGCTGCCAGTCCCAAACCCTGCGAAATGACCTGTCCCCCACCTTCATGAAGCCCGCGTGCATCTGGCTGTAGGGTGGCGGAATGATGGCCGCCAGGTCCATGGAGGCCACATGGCGCGCGCTGCAGCCCAGCATGGCGCCCAGTTGGTTGGTCGCGTACACGACACGCAACTGGCAGCACAAGAAGGTATGTCAGGACGGGTCAAGGCCGTGATTGGGCGAGGTGGTGTATGGCTGGCGCTAGGCGGGCAGTCTTGCCACAGGGCCCCAGGGCCCCTGCAGCTGGCAAGCATGGTGTAGCTCCACAACCGACACCACTGACGCCGCAAAAAGAGGGTCTCAGATTGCCTCGTTCAAGAGGCTTATGAAATGCGTGGTAGCAGCCCCCCATCACGCCCTGCCCCTCTAAGGTGTCTGGGCACACCTGATGATCCACCACCATCATGGCACCAGCCAGCGCCGGCGCCTTCAGGGGAAGGGAGAGGGACCACGGAATACCATTTTCAGGAACCACATGACTCGAAAATACACGTCCTGCAGCCCGCCCGCCCCCGCTTTCAACGCTGCCGCCCTCTCCGCCCCCGCCGCATGCATCCGTTCAGTTTCCGCCGGCGCTTGCGCCTCCTGCTGCGCCTGCTGCAGCGCGTCCTCTCCCAGCAGCCAGGGCCTGGATTGGGAAAAAAATCCTCCACCGCTCTCCCTCTGCGGCCATTCCCAATTGACAAGCTTGGTGCTGCCCTGGCTGCCCCTCACATGTATATTGAGGATGAGGATGACCTCCGAGTCTGAGCCTGCATATTGCACGTCCACACGCACGTCCACGGGCGGCAAGAACCTACGTCACGGCGGCCAAAAAGGCAGGGAGGGGTGGTTAGGGAAAGGTGAGGCGGAGGTGGGCGATGAGATCTCAGGGGTGAGGACGGCCGGTGGCACAAGCAGTGTGTATATGCAGGCAGCTAGCTGGCTCCCTGAAAGCCTGCAAGGGTCCTGGACAGGCGGTGATCGCGAACCCTCCTGCTCTTTCCTCCAATCATATGGCACAACTGACCGTTGCCCGGCATTTGCGATGCCGCACACTGGTCGCATTTGCACGAATCTCTGCTGCACTATACCAGCTCCCCACCAGCTCACCACCCTCCCCAACCCCACTAGCTCCTCACTTGTGAAGCAGTTTGGTCTCCAGGCTCAGGACCGTATCGGTGCGCTCACCAACAGGCAGGCTGCTGGCGCGTGCGATCAGCCTTGATTGCCGCCATGAACGAGGGGTTGAGGTGTGCACGGTTGCGGAGGTAGGGGGTGGGTTTGGGGTTGCGCGAGGTGGTGAGGGTGGACTGTTGCTGGCAGCAGCTGCTGCCAAAGCCTGCAGGCTTTGGCAACCGCCCGCCTACTTGCTTGTCAGTCACATGCTCCGCTCTCTCGCCCAGTTGCGCGTGGCTCTCGTGTCAATGACTCCAGCTGGTCAGGTGGAGACGCAAAGATGCTGAACGCTGCGCTTTCTAGTGCATTCAAAATCACCTTGAGCCTTTAGACGCAAGCAGCTGCAGCAATACTTTGCAAAGTCAGCCCCAATAGCAAGCACTCAGACCCAAGTACACTTTCCTTCTCTTGAACCATGTCCACCACGTACAGACCAATCTGTGTCGACACAAACAAGTACCTCGAAGCTACATGCACGATGCCCATGCCGTGCCAGACCCAATCACCCCCTCCCCACTCCAGTTGCTTCGCCCAATCTCGGGCCCCACCTGTCCAACGCCTCTGAGTCAGGCCCCAGGCTTGAGAAGGCACGCCCTGAGATGTCCGAAGGCGCCAGCCCAAAAGTGTCGGCGCAGCGCTCATCCCCACAGAGAATGGTGCCCGTCCCGGCGGCAACCCAGAGCTGCACCATCGTGGGGTCGGGGTGCTCGGAGCGGCGCAAGAGAGCCATGAACATGCAGTCCTTGGGTGGGAGGGGTGGCGCAGGGTGGCGGGCGCGTCACTGATAACGTGACGGCAACCACGCATGGCGGAAGCGGGTAGTCGGACACCATAGTCGTCCTTGTTGGCGGCCGCAGGCTGGCGCGCAGGACCAACCACAAGTGGCTGAGCTCATGACATGTGCCTGGCCCTTCATGGGGTGCGTTGGCACAGGGCGCACCTGCCGGGCTGCCCAGCCCGCCATGGAAGTCCTTGGACACCACACGCATGCACCCTGGGGTGCACCCTCTCTTTCAAACCAGGCTGAGCCTGCTTATGCTTCAACTACAGGGCCGCACCTGGCCGTTTCCAGACAGCTTGATCGCAGTGATATTCACGGGGAATATTGTATGGTGCTTGGTGATGCCCACCATGCTCCTCTGCTTGTTGAGGATGTGCGGATTGCCAGACTCGACACAACGTGAGATGTAGCTGTCAGAGAAGCAGGCGCGCGTGTGTGTATGTGTGTGTATGTGTGTGTGTGTGTGTGTGTGTGTGTGTGTGTGTGCGCGCTGATCCGCGTTGGTGTGGGAGTCCACGTGCGTATGGGTGGGGGTGTGTGCATGCGTGTGTGTACTTCTCCGCGGATGCACATTCGTGTGTGTTTTGAGGGGGGGGTTGCGGGGTGGTGGGAAGACGAGTCTTTGTGTGTTTGTGTGTGTGTGTGTGTGTTGGGGGGGGGCTTGTGGGTGTGTGTGCGTACGTGCACGTGAACGTGCGTGCATGCCTCATGCATGCGCTTAGAAGGGGTGCGGGGGTTGAGTGTGTTCTCGGACATGGGCAACATGGGCAGAATGTTGAGAGGTGTCACGATCGATGATGGGCCATGGTGTTGGGAAGGGGGAGGCGTGAGAGGGCCGCCAGGGTTGCGGCAGCAACGGTGCGGATGTGCCGCGAGCAGCTGGTGGGGGGGTGCTGCGCACTTGGCTGCACTTTACGAAGGAGTGTCCCGTCCCATCCCAGTCCTTTTTGGGGATCAGGCTCACCTGTTGTGGCGGCTGCTGAAGGGCTGGGGCATAAGGCACGAGACCTGGGGCGAGGAGGTGGGTTGACGAACACCAACGAAAGGCGGGTCGTCACAGCACGCTGAGAAGTGCCCATGAACCTCCTTATGACCTCAATGCTGGAACGCCCCCTGCAAGATAGGGGGCCCCACCCTGCTGCCCTCCTTCCTGCAAGCTCCTTGCTTGCGCGGCGACAATGTGGGCTAGAAGGCCCTCCATAGCCCCCTGACCACCATGCACAGTTCCCCCTTCATGTCACACCTCCTCAATACGCTCCCAGCGCTCTTGTCCACCCCACAACACTCTGCTTTTCCCCATCTCACGCTCTTTGTCTCCAGCTCGCCCTCAGAGTACTCAAACATCTCATAGGCGGCCCTGTTGATGGCGACAATCATGCCCACTGCATTGACGACGACGATGCCATCACACACCTCGTCGACTGCGCCAAGGGCCTGCAAGGATGGGAGTGAGGTGCGCGCACACAGGGAGGGGCCGGGTCTGAGAGCGATGTGTCCATTAGGGATGAACCGGCCAATTGCATTGGCTGCGCTGGTGAAAACTCCAGCTCACAGGTGAGAGCTGGTGCAGTCCACCAGGAAGGACATCATGACGCAAAGAAACCCTCACGTTTCAATTTGCTTTCAACCTCACTCATGCAGCCACCCCCCTTTGAAAATGCCACCACGCACTTCACAGCCCGCAGACACCCCCTTCACCTTCAGCATCTCGTCCTGCTCAGTCCTGCTTGAACCGGCCCCCATGAGCCCCAGCAGGCTCTGCCCTGTGCCTTGCTTTGCGGCCTCAGTGTAGTACCTTTGGGCCAGGCCAGGCTCGTTGCGCACCCACTCCAGGAAGCGGCCGTAGATCTTCAGCAGCCGCCCATTGGAGGGGTAGCGCTCGAGGGCCCTGCAGCGGAGTTGGCGAACACAACAGAAGGTGAGTGGGACGGCAGGGGCAGGGGGTTATCAGTCGACAGTCATGTAGAAGCTGGATGGTCAGAGTGCACTTTGCTTGCTTCTGTCGCACCGCCACACTGCTCTTGCCCTGCATCCTCTCGACACACAGCCAAGCTTTCAGCATGACCAGCGCGTATCAGCTCGCCCATCAGCCCCTCGCGCCCCCCTCCACACTTTTGATCAGCAAGCACCCAACCTGCGGTATATGCGCGTCGCCTGCTTCTCTGCCTGGTCCATGGCGGCAAAGCTGTACTGGAGGCTCTTGAAAGAGACAGTGTCATGGAGCAGCACCTTCCACAGCACACGCTGGGCGCTGAGGGCCACTCGGTGCACGCGCACACACGCGCGGTAGTTGCTGCGGCGACCGTGACAGGTGCATTGAGCAGATGTTTGCATGCGTGTGTGCGCATATGTGCCCGCGCACACGCCTTGGAAGGATCTCTGTGTTTTTTGAAAGTTGCACTGAAGCAGGGCAACCTCCCCTTCCAAACACTCTGTGCTTGCGCATACCAAGCACCCCTGCATACGCGCCTAGAACCCCCTACCCCACCCTCACCGTTGAAATTCGATGTAGCTCATCAGATCCAGTCCTCCTTTCTCGCCCTTGGATTGCTTGGCCAGGTCCTGGGTCTAAAGAGAGTAAGGCCGATTGGAGGGAAGCGATCCAGAATGGGAGGACGAGTAAGGCCGAGGAGGTAGGGAAGGAGGAAGGGGGGGTAACAGGTGCGAGGCATACACAAGCCATTGGATGGCAAAAGAGTAGAGCGGGGGTGATGGGCAAAGACCGTCAGGGTGCTGCTGCTTGCCTGCGCCCAGCCAGCAGCAGGGGTGGGTTTGATGAGGAGCTAGCCGTGAGGGTCCAGCGGTCCGAGGTGGTCGGCGTGAATGGGCAGAGCCGTGCAGCCACTGTCAAGGCCACGCCGCCCTATTACGCGCACCCTGTAGATGAAGAAGTGGTCTATGATTGATGGGCTGGCCTTGACGGCGAGCTGCAGCTGGGTGCGCGCGGCCTGGCCATCCTTGCGGACCTGGGGGTGTGTGCAAAAATCATGTAGAAAAGGGAGTACAAGAGCTACTGAGCTACCTTGAAGACAGTCGTTCCAGTGAATCACATTCGAGCAACGGTCAAGCCGCTCGCAGAACGAAGTTTTCAGAGTTTGGTGAGTGCTGCGCCATGAATTCAGGTCCCTGAGAACCAACACCCACTGTCACAGCAGCCAGAACCTCCAAACCCACAACACCCAACAGCTCACCTCCAAGTAAAAATTTGCCAGGGCTGTCATGAGCATCGAATTGTTGGGGAAGCGTGCAATCCCGCACTGAACGAATGGTAAGTGATGGCACGTCACGATTTGGGGGCTGGTCATCGGCAGTGGTCAGGGTTTGGGCAGTCAATCAATGGGTGCTTACACCATGTATGTGCTGGATGGACCCCTGTCTTTGCGTACAGCATGCGCCCGCAAAGATTTGCTCTGCCTCCTTCAGTGCCCGTAAATCACCTGAACTCCTCTAGGGGCCTCACAGAGAAGCCAGCATCTCTGAGGTCTAGCTGATCAACCCTGTGAACCCCCGCCCAAACCTGACCATTCTTCGTTGGTGCCCATCTGCTCGTTGACGTTCGTGCGTGCTCGGCACCCCAGCCCTTGCTGCATTCGACCCACATTCTGGCCCCTGCCCGCTACCACAAGCCTCACCTTGTAGATGAACTCTCCCAGGGCACAAGCCTCCTCATCAGGCTGACCATCGTCATCCCACTTGCGCATGACACGCGCCAGGGTCTCCACCTGCCGTGGAGAGGGAGAAGGTGGAGGAAGCAAGGGAGAGCTGCACTCAGCATGAGACAGCTAGTGTTTGGCTCCAGCAGTACCTTGACCAAGTGAGGAAATCGGATTAATCCCCTTCAGCGACCATCCGTTGAAACACGCACTGCGGCCAGGCAGGAGGGTCTCTGCCCATCGCCGCCCTTCCAACGGCGGAACAAAATCGACCGTGCTTAGGAGGCACGTGCGGCAGTCTTGCTGGCGCACAGACGCCTGTACCACCAAAGCTTCCATGTCCGTTCTCCAACACCACTGGCTGGCCACCACGTGGTAAACTTTGCATCGCAACAATCGGTGGCGCCCAGCCCAACAGACACGCACCAGCAAAATCCCCCCACCTGGGCTGTGTTGCGAAAGCGGTACACTTTGCGAAGGTCGCGCAGTGCCTCCGGGTCATCCTTTGCAGAGCACAGCACGTCTAGCGGCCGGCGCAGCCACCACAGCCGGGTCACGCTGGCAACCATGCCCAACAGCACTGCGACAAAAATGCCGTAGAGGATAGCCTGTGAGGGGGCAAGGGCAGGGCAGCTGTAAGCATGTGCGCACCTGGCCTGCAGCGTTGAAGAGCACTTTGCAGTGTCAGACCAGGCCTTGAACCAAAATGTTTGGTGGATGGCCGCCAAACACAACACAGCAGGCCCCTGCGCAGCCGAATGGCCTCCACCTCGTTTACAATGCCCTGACACCGTGTCGGCGTGACGCCCCTCACCCATGTCATGCGCTCCCTCATGTCAAGGTTGCTGGTGTACTTGTAAGTCACCACGTTCTGGGGGAGGGAGCGCGCAGGAGGCAGGTGGAGGGGAATAGGCCAACGATTGGGCGGTGAGCCCGGCCGTTGTCCCAAACGTGCCAAGCTCAGCACATCCAAGCAACCTTGTCGCAAGCACAGCGGCTGGGATCCTTGGTATCTCAGGTGGTTCATTGCAAGTGATGACGGCAGCCTGGTGCTCTAAGGAAGTATTGTTATCAGGCTGAGCCCCCATGCAGCCAGGCAGACACCACCATTGCTCACCACTGGGTGGCCCCAGGCATCTTTTGCTCAAAACAATGTGCTGGAGACACACGCGTGTACACGCAAATGGCTGAGCCACGATAAGTGTCCTGTGGTCCAAACTCGACCAGCACTGGGCAAACAAGGCTGTCAGGGCCAATCACGGCTGGCATCCCACAGTACTCCATAGACCCTCCGTGAATTGCGCTTTCAACCCACCAGCAGGATGCAAGTGTACACGATGCCAGTCCACAGTCCATTCCACACGTGGTTGACCCAGTCGCTGTAGTATAATGGCTGTGATTTCAAGGCGAGGGCATGAGGCGCTTGAGATCAACACGGGGGCGTTCGATTGGGTTGAAGTGGGTCCGGACGGATGACGCTTTATGCAGGCACTTGGTGTGCGTAAGCCTTAGCATCTTAGGTGCACAAGAAAGCTGGCTGCAAGAAGCAATTGGACAGTGCCCTCATAGCACTGCCTGGTGGGTCAATACGAAAGCAGTGCGGCAGGGACACACACACACACACACACACACACACACACACACACACACTGAGACACACACACACACACATGAACACACATAAACATACAGCCTGAGCTTGCACGGTGCACCCTGACTCAGCCGCCATGTATCATATCATATTGCCTGCTTCCTGCTGCTCTACCGCTCTTTGCAAACCTGATTCTCGCAATTTAGGCTGGACCACAGGCCTTGAAGCCCACTTTCGATGCCTCCCTCCCCCCCCCCGGCCCTTACCGCCATGATCATCTGGAAAGTGATGTAGCCTGCACAAACAGCCATGGCGACGCTCTGGAGCTTGGGGTTGGCGCCACCGGCCGTGGACAGTACGACCATCACTATCATTTAGGGAGGGTGTGCCAGGGGAGGACAAATATGCGCTGGGTGAGAGCGCATGCTAGTCACTGGCAACCCATGCGTGGCACTCGCACAGGTTCACGGGAGAACCTGAGTCACGCACTGGTGTCACGCTTTGCATACGGAGCCGATTGCGAGGCATGTTTGAAACAATGCAGCCGCAATCTCAAAGCCCCACCTTGAGCATGAGATTCATTAGATTGGTGACAGCGGCGGGTGTGGCAAGAATGTTGCGCGTTAAAGGGTTCAGGTCGCAGTCGCCCACAGACTGCGCTGGTCAGGGCGACACACAACGGTTAGGTTTTGAGGTGGGACATAAGGGGGTTGCACAGGATCACCTGGCAGGCGGGCAGCTGTGACATGGAACACCCGCAGGAAAGCCATTATGAACGTGGTAGCTGCAGTTGTACAACGGCGAGGGTGTTTGACCGTCTACAATACATGCTGCCCAGTGAAGCAATGTCGGGAGTCGTGAGTCTCCTGCAGCATTAATCATACCCCCCCGTCACTTGATCCCATCAGCTGCCGCTTCCTGACCGCATCCTCCATCCCCCACACCACTGACTACACAGCCCACCAGTGCTAGGCATGTGGCCATGAATACGAGCGTGACCACAAGAGCAAAGGCCATGTGTGCCAGGTGGGGCATGGCCACGCAGGAGTGCTGGAAGCTGATGTGGGCAACACTTGAGATCACAGGCATGAGCTCCCAATGGCAAGCAAACCTGGGACGCATGAGCAGGAGGGTCGCAGGACTAGTTGCGCAGCGGAGGAGGGCTCAATAATCATTGACGACCAAGTGATAGACCCCTCCGCACCGCCTCTACCGCTGTTTCTCTCTCCCTCTCCTGCTTGATCTCGCTCTGCCCCCATTCCCACACACACAGACAACATCATGCTTGTGCGCGCGCCCCCGCCCCCATGCTGCATGCATACACGCGCGCACACATACACACACACACATACACACACGCATGCATACATGCACACACTTGAGCCTATCCAGCTGAGTTGTGGGCCTACAGGTCAATTGCACGCATGCGACGTCACAACGTAAGAGCTGTTGTTCTGGGGCTGCATCCCCACAACATCCCCTTCCCCCTCAAGACAACCCGCCACAAGATGGGATACGCCCGCTCCCTCCCTCTTACATGAAAACCAGGAAGTCCAGAATGCTAGGTAATGTGCATGCATATGGGAGGGCGCGACAGGGGGGACGTGAGCGAGGTCTCTGCTGCAGCAAGGCTGACCTGTCACAGCAACTGCTGCGAGGCGTGCATGGCCGCACACCGCCCACAACCGTGCGCCGTACCAGCCCTGGCCCGACCTCGGCCCCTCTCTGTAGTTCCTGTCCCGAATCTGCCCGCGATCTATGGCCCTGCCGCACCTCACCTGACCCACGCCACGCTATACATGATCATGGCCAGCACTTGCACAAACTGGATCAGCCTGTGGGTGAATGGGTGGCAAATGGAATAGCTACAGGTGGGATTATATCTGGCTGCTGTACATTTGGGCATGCATGGGGTGCAGTGTCCAAAGCCAAGCGGCACAGCACAAATCAGATACAGTTGTGCAGCAAGACTTGCTGCCAACAACACAGGGTCTGGCCCCAAGCATACGCCCCGTCGTCATGCAATTCACACCTGGCCAGCCAGCCGCCTTTAGTGCTGTCATCCTTCTTGATGACCTTTTGATGCGGTATGCATGCGTGCAGTGCTTGTGGGAGCGCGTGTGTGCATGCGTGCATGCATGCAAGTCTGTTTTATGTCTGCCCAGATGCTCCCTGACAAAGATGGACAGGCCCATCCATCTGATGGGCGGGCAGCCAGGCAGCTCCAGAGGTTGCCGGATCTAGAGGGCCCACACCGCAAGAAGGTCAGTGGGAGTGAGAGGAGTGAGATAAATGCAACATGTGCAGCCACCAGGGAGCACAGGCGCCCAAGCTTTACTCGGCGCCTCCAAGGTGTGTGCCATTGCATGGCTTGGCCGTACACGCCTGAGGCTGCCCAGGCCGCCCAGCCAAAGCCCCGAATTCAGACTGGATTGCGGCGCCGAACCTTCCCCTGCTTCTTGGCTCCCTAGTGCCCAGGGAGGTGGTATGCTCACCACTGCAACATATCCTGCCAGCACAAGCGACAAGAGGATGGCAGCCGCTACAATGTAGAACACCACAATCTTGATGAAGACAAGCACCGCAGCGTGTCGGGTTGGTGCAAAAGAGTTCAAAGATGGATAATGGAATGTAGATTCTGACTGCTGCCGATGGGGGTGTTGACCACAGCTGACACAGTGGCGAGCACGGACTGCCCCATCCTGATGCATACCTTGCAAGTTGGCTCACAAAGCACTGTGCCTCAGCATCACCACACACGAGCGTGCAGCTTGCAGAAGCTGCCCGCTTGATTGTGAAGACATACAGGCCGGCGCATGTTGCTTGCAACCCCCAAGGCTCACGTAAGCATTGTAGCCCTTTGGTAGCACAAGGAACCGGAACAGCACCCAACGGATGCCCTTGAATACGGGCAGATCGGTGTGGACCAGCCACCTGAGGGTTGCAGCCACGAGAAAGGTTCTGAAAAGGGCAGGGACCGAGGGACAGCAACACAAGATGGTCTGGCTGCGCGGATGCACATAGGCATGGGCCGCAAGCTGCCCCCTTCACGCGCCTGCCTGGTGGCTAGTTGAGGGGTGGACCCATGGCGGGCGTCGCAAGTGTGCCGTTGCAGGGCATGCATCGCTTGCTGTTTCTATCCATGTGCCTGTGCCATTGCTGAAGGTCGCGACACGCCCGTCACTTCGAGCCGTGCACCCCATGCTCGTGTCAACGGCGTCCCAAGCATGCGCCTGCGGCTTCGGTGGGCTGACAATCCCATTCCTTCCAACCCCTGGACCCAACCCTGGGTCTGCGCGAGCGCTCACAGAAACTCGGTGTTGAAGACGACGCGGAAGATCTGCAGGAACTCCAACACAATCCGCAGCACCACCCATCGCAGGTCCTGCTGGCCGCGTTTCTTGGCGAGCAACACCAGCGTTGCAAAGATCTGCAGTGTGGATGAGGAGATGGGGGTGCGAGAACGTTTGCATTGGTGTGAGCATGTCCCACGCGGAACAATGGTCAAGGGCACCTGCATTTGCGCACGCATGAGTGCGTATGAGGGTGCAAGTTGTGTATGTGCGCGTGTGCGCTTGCATGCATGTGCCGTGTGCCCAGGCGGGCATGTGTGTTGTGCACATGTGTGTGTGTGTGTGGGCGTGTGTGTAAGTGTTTGTTCGTGTTTCACATACGTTTGTGCATGCAAGCGTGTGTGTGTGTGCGTGTGTGTGTGCGTGTGTGTGTGTGTGTGTCATGATGCATGTTTGTTGGTTACTGCGTGCATGATGCATTGTTTTGCATGGGGCAAACGCATGTGCTTCTGTCGATGTATGCACACATGTGCATGAATGCGTACATGTATACGGGGGCAGGGCCTGCATGCACAGACATTGATGCATCCTGTGACAAAATAGGCAGTTGCGAGCTGTGGCATGTCATCAACATTATCGCTGCAGTAATGAACCAGGCTGCAGGCCAGTGAGCAAAGGAGGCAGGCGTGCTCACCGCCTCAGTCACCCCGCGATTTCCTGAAACGAGATCATCGCTGTTGTCGTCGTCGCCATGGGCCCTGCGAGACGGCCAAGGTGGCCGAAGCAAGCGGGTGGCTGTGGGTTGACTGAGGGTTGATTAGCGACGCCGGCACAAAAGGTCACAGCACAAAAGGTCACAGCAACCGTATTACACACCCACTGACTGCACGTAAGAAACACGGAGTGCATGCACTCCGCCCTGCATTCCTGAAGCGGCTTGCTCTCGGTCTCATCAGCAACGGCCCTTCATGCAAACACTCACGCTCGACCTTGGAGCGCGTCGAGCGCGTGTGCATCCAAAGTGTCGCTAGCGCCATTGGAGGCTCCAATGAAGCTGTGATGCGAGCTATCACCTGATTCACTCATAATCCTCTATTTGCGAACGAGCCCGCTATTTGGGCACTTCCAACCGGATCAGCAACCACCGTTTGCAGCCCCTGGATCACCCTCATACCACAGAACGATTTTCTTTATATGACCTGCGCGATTCGTTCATGAGCGACGCAGATTGCTGACCAGATCACGGCTTACTACAGTACCGTAATGTTGTAGTATTTCCACTAAATGCTATGATCATAAGAAACGAATTTGATTCGGTGCCCGCAAAGTGTCAAGGCCAAGCCCACAGGAATTCGGAAAATGCGATTTGAGGAGCAACAAATCAGAGCGCAGTCAAAGCGTTTGGGGCATGTTTGGCGCAGCCCGCCTAGAAGCGACGGCTCTTGATGCAAGAAAGGGACCCCCTGCGGCAGCCACTGGAATGCTGCCAGCCCTCCTTGCATGTATGATGGTACAACTGCTTTAGCAGCCGCCAACCCCTGAAAATACCCCAGACTCTTGCGGGAACGCGGATCGCATGGGTGCTATAAACTCCACCCATATCATAGGGGAGCGCGCAGTCATGGTTTTCAGCTTCTACGTAACCACAAGGATGGGTAGCTTTTGAATAATCACAATAGGGTTGTAGGGTTGAGCAGTCTGGGTGTTTTCATTGCCTCATCATGTGGTGGTCCCTCGTGTGCTGCTGGTCTCCACCCTTGCCACACATCAACATTGCCCACAACCCGTGTGTCTAGGCGAGCGAGTAGAAAGAACCAGCTGGCAGGAGGGGGTGAAAGGGACACAGCGCTGACGCCTTGCATGACTGCAAGCCACGCATGCAACGAGCAGCGCCATGTTACATCATAAGGTGTGCGTATGTGTCTGGTGAGCCACATCCTCTACCTTCGAAACGGGCGGAGCGTGCTCACATGAAGTGATGGCCTTGACGCGGCCGTGACAGGCAGTTGAGACAGATGCTTGGGTGCTTCCGGCAGCTCCTGACAGCTGTCATGCTCGCAAATGAGTGCGGGTTGAGACCTTGTGTTGTTCTCTAGAACAACCCAGTGAGGGCACACGCGCATGTCACTTTACATGCACAAAGGAGCCTGTGATGGCAATCATTTCACAGACGTCAGGACAATTTCTTCGCTCTCCTGGACTGGAAGTCAGTCTTGAGCATTCTGTGGCAGACCTTAGGCCAAGCAGCGGGCAGCAGGCAACCCCTTCCGTGCAATGCATGTGCCGACTTGCAGCCGTCAGCATGTTGCGCAACACCTAGTTGTGCAGGCCACCAGCAGTTGCAACGCCTCCTGTTTCCCGTGAAAGGCATCTGCACCAAGGTCAGAAGGTCGAGGTAGATGCCAGGAAACGGGCGCGGAGGGGGGAGGATGCAGGGATGCATTGAAACAGCCAGCCGCTTTGCAACGGGTGTGCCGCTTGCCACGATACGCCAAAGAAGGCCTGTGTATGAGCATGTGACAGAATCCAGTATAACACACGGGAAGTCTCGCGCGCTGGCATGTTCTTGCCCCAGCAGGAGCCCTACGCCAGCTACCGCATCCCCCAGCCTGAGCCAAGCAACAGCACCTGGTCGGCTGCCTGCTTGGCTCAGCACATGCGCAGCGCCTTTGAACCTGCAAGCCGGTCAAGCCCAATCAAACATGTCGTTGTTTTGAAAAGCTAGCGTCAGCACTGCTATTCCCCTTATATCCAACGATGTTGCCCGGGTGCAGCCCGCAGCATTTGAAGGTGGTCTTCTCTGCCTGATCATTTTAGGGGTGTGACGCACCTCAAAAAGATAATCGAGAATCCATAGAGGACATAGCGCGGGACGCAGGCTGGGAGGACGCGCATAGGCAGCGCTGGGCTCAGTGCTGATCGCGCTCATCTGCACCCACGGCATGGAAAACATCAGGTGGGTGACACGTGGCCGTAACATCTATGATAAGGTTTTGACTTTGTAGTCGGCCTAGCTGACCCCTCGATCTGCTTTCCGTGTGTGCAGCGTGAGCGTGCGGGTCCGCCCGCTGAACAAGCAGGAGCAGAATGAAGGGTTTACGTGGAGGATCGATGGCAACAGCATGTACCAGATCGACCTCGCCACGCGCGAGCCCGACCGCGCGCGCGACGCAAAGTACGCACTGGACCATGTGTTCGGCCCCGGTGCGTCCACCGCCGACATCTACCGCGTCACGACTCAGCACCTCATCAGCAAGCTCGTCAGCGGCTTCAACAGCACAGTGTTTGCGTATGGCCAGACCAGCAGCGGGAAAACATACACGATGCGCGGATCGGCGGCCGACCCAGGCATCATCTCCCTGGCCGTGCGGGAGGTGTTTGCCCTCATTGAGCAGACAGTCGACCGCGAGTTCCTGCTGCGCGTCTCATACATGGAGGTGCGGTGATCCTTTTGCATCTACAAGTGTAGGTGGCCTTCTTTGCAAGCGGCGGTGCCCACAGACAGAAGATCACAGCCGCCAGCAGCTTGAAAGTGTGAGCACAGTGGTGACAGAGTGCAACGTCAGAGGCGCTTGCATCGCGCCTCCCAACTCATCAGCCGTTGAAACCACGCCCCCTAGCCAACCTGCTTGCAGCACCCAAATCCACCTGGCATGCCCTCCCTGGTTCACCCTCCCGCCACCCCGCCCCAACCGCCCAACTTCCTGTTCAGCTGTACAATGAGGAGGTGAATGACCTGCTCGCCCCAGAGAACCTGCGGCTGCCGATCCACGAGAGCAAGGAGGCGGGCATCTACGTGGCGGGCCTCAGGGAGGACATTGTCACCTCGCCGGAGCAGGTGGGGCCTGAAACTTGGCAGCTGCTTCAAGGGCTTTGGGATGATTGGACTGGCGCAGATGCCTGGCAGGAAGCTGCTGCTTAAAGGTGCCAGTCCATGTATGCGCAGAATTCAGCATGGGCCCAAGGCACGAGGCAGTGCAAGGAGTGCGGCGCAGTCGATGACATTCTGCAATGGGCGTGGCTGCGCGGCCTGAACCCGACAAGCAGATGCGTCGCGGCCTCGCTGGCATTTGCACCTGTGGTGCTGCCTTGCAGGTTCTGCAGCTGCTGGAGACCGGGGAAGCCAACCGCCACGTCGGGTCGACGCGTATGAACGAGGGCAGCAGCCGCTCGCACACTGTGTTCCGCATGGTGGGCGCCTTGAGAAACGAACTGCAGGCGACCTTGCTTTTGGGCAACGTACCCTATGGGACAGCGCATGAGCACCGACTGCAATGGGTGGACGGCAATCCTGTGCCAGGACCAGCATCAGTGCCGCGACCGCGACCTGCTGGAAATTCACTCTCCTTACGCCCCATGTTTAACCCAAACCAGGTCATCGAGAGCCGCAGCCGCTCCTGCGGCGAGCCCGAGGCCCCCCTGCCGCCGGATGAGGCCGCGGGCGCCATCCTGGTGTCCACGCTGACCCTGGTGGACCTTGCCGGCAGTGAGCGCGTCGCGAAGACGGGCGCGGAGGGGATCCGGATGAAGGAGGGCACGGCGATCAACAGGAGCCTGCTGACGCTGGGGACAGTGATCAACAAGCTGTCGGAGGGGGCACAGCTGTCGGGTGGGTGACGGGCGCGTGCCTGACGGGAAACCGCCCGGCTGGATGGCCGTCGTGATGCGTCCGGCTGCTGCTGGTTTGGCGACGAAGTCGGGCAATGCAACGTGCTGTGCGGACCCTCGCCAAGGATTGCGGCCTGTGCACGGGTATTTGGGTTGGCTTTTCCTAGCTGTCATTAGCAGGAGGTGGTAGTAGTGACGACGGGCTTCCCTCACCCAATCGTGCAAAATCCGTGCAGGTGCCCACATCCCCTATCGCGACTCAAAGCTGACCCGGATCCTCCAGCCCTCCCTTGGAGGCAACGCCAAGACGGTGCGCGCATCCGCGCCGGTGTCAGCCCTCCGCCCGCGCGCCTGCATGCATGCATGCACTGCCTCGCTGCTTGCCGCTCCTGTACGTCGCCCTCAACCGAACAAAGCCCACATGCGGCCCTTCTCAAGTCCATGCTTTTGTGGAACACCGCCCCATAATCTTACGGATTAACAACATCCAATAATGCAACCACCCCATCCAAACTGACACCTCTGCGTGCAGGCCATCATCTGCAACGTGACCCCCGCCGGCTGCCACACCGAGGAGTCCCACAGCACCCTCCGCTTCGCGTGCCGCGCCAAGCGCGTGGTCAACAACGCGGTGGTCAACGAGGTGCTGTCTGACGCGGCGGTGCTGAAGCGGCAGGCCAAGGAGATCGAAGACCTCAAGAAGAGGCTGGAGGAGAGCGGCACCGCGGGGTGGGTGGAAGGGGGGGGGGTGGGTGAAAGGAATGGGCTCCGTCGATATGTTGGTTTGGCTGAAAAGCGCGGGGTGAGCCCGCATGTGACAGGAGCGCGTCGTGCCCGGAAGAGCGCATGTGTTCCAGGCACGACAGACCCTGACTTGGGAGACCACACAAAGATCCTTGTCTCAAGCACTGGGCTGGCTGTGGTCATCAATGCACAAGTTAACGCTGTGGGTGGAGGAGCCCGCGTCCCTGCCTATTGCAATTTTACTGCAGCTGCGACGCTCGTGCCTGCCCTGAAACCCGCGCCGTGCGTTGCGGCTGCCTTTGTCCCCACTTGCCCACCCACAGCAGCAACTCCGAGGTGGAGGAGCAGATGATGCAGATGCGGGCGCACATGCTGCGCATGGAGCAGGAGAAGGAGCTCATGCGCGCAAAGCTGGAGGAGGAGGTGGCGGAGAGGGAGAAGGCGCAGAAGCAGGTGTGGGGCATGACCTTTGAGGTGCAGCCTGCGGGGCCTGGCCTGTGGGCCTGCTGACTGCCTTCTGTGCTGCCGCTGGGCTCTTTGGGTAGTGTCAGCAGACTGACGTCGCTCACGGCGCGCTCAATTCAGTGCTGTGAGAGCATTCTCATACTTCCAGGTTTGGATGCTTTTGCATCCAGCCATGCCCCACTCAGGCTGTGCAACAGTCTGCGCCCCAAATACATGCATGCCGACAAACTCATCTAATTGCAATGCGCGCACATCCAGGTTGAGGTGGCCAAGAAGATCATGTTTGGGCAGCAGCAGCAGCAGCAGCAACAACAGGACGCTGGCGGCGACGGCAGCGACGGCGCCGCCCCAGCGGGGCGCAAGGGGCGCAGCAGTCGGCGCGAGACTTGGTGCCCGGGGCGATCGGGCTGGGAGCTACCGTTGCCAGGTGGGCAGGGGCGAGCACATTCCAGCTCCCCAGGTCTGTGGGGGGGCACATTGTCGTATCTCTTGCCGCTTGAACGCACTTCAGACGTTCAGCTGCCCGGCCGCTCGCTCGCACAGCCGCCAATGGCTGCATGATTTGGCCCACGCCATGCGCGTGATCGCAGAATCTGCAGCTGGCCGCAAGCGGCCGGCCCCCAGCCTGAGCAATATGATGGCGCCCATGCTTGAGGAGGGGGAGGACGGCGACGGCGACGGCGCAGGCACCGGCGGCTTGAGGCGCGCGCAGCCGCGGCTGCGGGTCAGCGACGAGACCGGTGAGACACAGCGCTCTGCAAATCTTTGAGATGCAAATGGGGACTGCTTTGTTTGGGTAGAAAACAAGCTTCTGACAACGATTCGCATGGCGTGTCACCACATCAGTCCCATGCCTTGCGCTCAAACCGTTGCCTACCTTTTTCCTGTGCCCTTTCCAGACGCCCTGATGCTGGAGGGCACTGAGGGCCTCAGCGAGCGTGGCCGCAAGTCGAGCGCCGGCAGCGCACTGAGGGTGGGCGCTGTGGACTGGGCATGCGGAGGGATATCAGCCGCATGTGCGCGCCGCCCCTCTGGATTTGGTCGTGCGGCCTGGACACACCCGCTTTGTCCTTGCCCCGCTGCGAAGCCTGCACGGGAGCACCGTGGTTCCCGCTGCATTGCACAGCAAGCTTTGCAATCACTGCACTGTACCGCGCGACGCAGGCCAGCGCCGAGGGCGACACGTTGGCGCTCGGCGGCGGCGGGGGCGCGGCGGCGCGGCTGGCTGAGCTCGAGGAGCGACTGGCGGCGGCCGAGGCGCGCGGGGCCGAGGGCGACGAGCGGATCAGGTGCGCGGCTTGCGGTTGTGGATGAGAATGCTCATTATCACTTATGGCAGCAAGCATGTAGCCATGAAGGGCTAATGGGTTTGACACGTAGCGCAAGGCTCAGGAGTGTCCTTTACTGCGTGTGATGGGGCCTCACCCTCAGTCCTCTCCTCGCTGCCACCCCGCAGCTCGCTGCAGCAACAGTTGGAGGAGCAGCGCGCGGCGGCGGAGCTGGCCGCCGCCGAGCGCGACGCGCTGGCGGCGGACAAGGAGCGGCTGGCGCCGGCGCTGGAGGAGGCGCGGTGGCAGGGGCGGCAGCTGGAGCGCAAGCTGCAGGAGGCGCAGGCCAGCAAGGAGGAGGGCACCGAGGTCAGGCTCACTGGCTTGCGAATGGGCGTTGGCGTTTTGCATGCATGAACAAGAGGGCACCGCATGCCAGTGGGTGGGAACGGCGCCCAGCCGCCTGAGTGGAAACGGGCTGGCTGTGCTGGAAGGTGTCTTCCGCCTGCCACAGAGAGTGGCGCGGCCGGTTCTCGCGCACAGCCCCCAACATGGTGATGCGCGCTCCGATCAACCACCCAGGCCGCAGCCGAGGCGCAGCGGGCGCTGGAGGAGCTGCGGCGCCTGAAGGAGGAGGCGCAGGAGTCTTTCAAGGAGCAGCTGGGCGCGGCGAACGACGCGAAGCAGGTGGGCGCGCGGGCGCGACACCCGCGGCGAGGCGTGGGGTTGCAGGCGGCGGCAGGCGCCAAGGGCACGGTGGCCGACAGAGCCCGTATCATTTTCGCCTACGGGCAGACCTGCCGTTGGCCAGGCATAACACCCGCCTGGCCCTGCGTCGTCAGCAGCATCCCCAGCTGGTTCCTCTGCTTTACCTCACCTGTCACTGCACACACACACACACACACACACACACACACACACGCACGCAATCTCTTTGGCACCCCCCACCCCACACACGCATATACAATGTCTCAACCCCCCAGTCCCTGAAGGACCAGCTGAAAGACCTGAAGGACGAGCTGCTGGACACAAGGGGCAAGCTCGACATCGCCGAGCGCGCGCGCGCCGCGCTGGAGGCGCGCGAGGCCGCGCACGAGGGCGAGCGGCGCGAGGCGGCGGCGCGAGTCAAGGACGAGAGGGAGGAGGCGGAGCGCACGCGCAAGGCGCTGGAGGTGCGGGCTGGCTCAGTCCTGCCTCTGATTCCTGGTGATGTCGCTGGGCTCGGGGAAAGCCTGTGTCAACCAGGCCGGTGCTGTACTGGGTCGTCAAGGCCAGCACATCACAGTCCTGGCTCGCGCCTGCCGTCCCCACATACTGCCCGGCTGGGCGCTGCCTGCTGTAACGTCAGCCATCTCACGCGCTCCGCACCATTATTGAACGGCATTGGTTGGCGCCCGCCCGCAGGAGACGTCGGAGAAGCTGCGCGCCGCGGAGGAGCGGGCGGCGGAGGCGCAGGCCGGTGTCGCGCGGCTGCAGGCGCACGTGTCTGACTTGGAGAGCCGCAAGAGGGCCCCTCTGTACCAGAAGAAGCAGGCATGGCGGTGTCTTTTGGGGGGGAGCGGCGAGGGGCGACCATCCATCCGAGACCTGCAGGAATGCGTCCAAACAGCAGGACGCTGTTGCGTGGTGGTTGGAAAGAGGATCAGCAGCGCCCCATCCTGCGCTGCCAGCCGCTGACAAGCGCACGCATTTCTTGGCGGCCGCGCCGCTGCACTCTCTGCAGGAGGCGGAGCTGCAGGCGGCGGTGGACAAGGCGACAGAGGCGGAGGCGCGCGCGTCGGAGGCGGAGGCCCGCATGAAGGAGGCGCGGGTGAGGGGTGGCGCCGGGGGCCTCGGGGCGACATGCTTGCGAGGGGCTCGTGAGGGTGTGATCTAAGCCAGTGCCAACGCTGTGCTGCGCAGGATGGCTGTAGCATCTCCCTGCATTTAAACATCAAGGCAGCCGCTTCCGGACTGCAACACAAACATGAAGACAACACATACCGTACCGCAACACGGAGGCTCACAACTACGTGCACCAGTTGTTTGAGCAAGATCGCGAGCCGACCACGCGCGCGCACACACACACACACACACACACACACACACACACACACACACACACACACACACACACACACGCGCGTGCGCGTGCGCGCGCAATGTAACAGCACACTCACGTGCATACACAACACAAAAAACTGCCCAGGAGCTGCTCGAGGCAGCCGAAAAGGCGGCGGCCGCCCTCTCGGAGGAGCTGGACGCCGCGCGCCGTGGCGCGGCCGAGGCGGCGGCCAAGGCGGCCGACGCGCACGCGCTGGAGGTGCAGCGGCTGGAGGTCGAGCGCAGCAAGGCGGAGGTGCGCGCGCACATGCGGGTCGCGCACGGGCGGCGCGTTCCCCCGTCATGGGCCGGAACCCTGCAACTCATGCTGCGAGGTGACGGGCAGCTTTGTATGGCCCACGCATCGCTGCGGCCCTGGCGTTGACTCCGCCTCAGCCCCACTCCGTACACTCTCTTCCACGTGACAAGAGCGTGCTGCACCCACCACCAGGCCGCCCACGTGGATGCGCTATCTGCGCTGCGGACAGAGCTGCAGCAGGCCGTCGCGGCCGCGGAGGCGGCGCGCGGGGAGGCGACAGCCAAGCAGTCCGAGGTGGAGGCGGCGGCAGCGCGGACGGAGGAGGTGGCGGCCGAGTTGGAGGAGGCCCGCAGCCAGCTGGGTGCGTCGCGTTAGGGGTTGGTCGAGCGTTTGAGGGGGACGCGGCAACGCATTCAGCGGCTGCAATGCACGCTGTTATACGGCTGTCAGGGTTTGGAGAGTGCGCGACATGTCGATGCAAGCCAAGGCAACAAACCCCAAGCACCTGGCGGACCTGGTGTCGCGTTAGAGGCATGACGGTTTTCGCGCTGCAATGCTGCCACCCTCGCAGCCGAGAGCCTGGCGTGCGCAACCGCAGCTCGGGAGAACATTGACGCACTCGAGCAGGCCGCCGAGGCGACCGCCGCCGAGCACGCGTCCGCGCTGGCGGCCGCGCAGGAGGTGCTGCGGTCGGCTCAGGAGGCCGCGGCGGCGGAGCTGGCGGCGGCGCGGGAGGCGGCGGCGGCGGAGCTGGCGGCGGTGCAGGAGGGCACCGCAGCGGCGCTGCAGCTCGAGCAGGAGGCGCGGCAAGCAGACGTGACCGCGCTGCAGGAGCAGCTCGAGCAAACCAAGGTCAGGACTCGCGGCGTCCGTCTGGCTGCGCTTTGTCGCGCTGCATCGCTGCACTCGCTCACCACACCTTCGGGGCCCGCCCTCGCTGCGGCGGTCTCGCCAACCCTTTACCATTGAAGCCTGCCAGCGCCCCTCGCACCGACGCTGCAGTTTCAACCCCTGGCGCCCTCGCCTTGCGCTCATTCCGCCGCCTCGCCGTCTCCCGCTTTCCTGTCGCCGCCAGGCTACCGCCCAAGCAGAGAGTGAGGAGCTGCGGTCGAGCCTCGACGCCACCAACTCCCTGCTGATGAAGACCATGGCGGCCGCCACGCAGCACGAGGCGGCGGCGGCGGAGGCGCTGGGCGCGAAGCAAAAGGAGATCGACTCCGCGCAGGTTCGGGCGCTGCCCCAGGGCAAGGGGAGCCCCTGACCCGAGGCCAGGCAGGCCGGGGGTCGGGCTCACATTGCTGAAGCCTCTGTGTGCGTGCTGCGTGCGTGCGTGGCCGGTCTCTGGCGCCGCGCGCTGGTCTGGCGGGGTGGCGTGTGGGCGGCGATTCCTCTCATGATTGCCAGTTTCGAGGTGTGCCAGTCATGCAGGGCGTTCACCAGAGAAGTGCTGCATGAGCATCGCCCGTGTACAAACCGTGTTTTGCGGATGCGCAGGCGCGGCTGGCGGAGGCGGCGGGAATCCTCAACATCCGCGACGAGCTGCGAGAGGCCAGGTGGGAGATCAAGAGGGGATGCTGGGTTCATACAGCCCACTTGATTTGTGATCCCTTCATCGTTGTGCGTAATTGGCTGCTCACAACCACCCCGTGCGACGTGCACACGCTTGCGCCCCCCCCCCCAAACACACACGCACACATACACACGCGCATGTGCGTGCGCGCACACTTTCACACACACACACACACACACGCACACATACACGCTCGCATGCGTGTGCGCCCTCACTCCGCACCCTTAGGGTCAAGCACAAGCAGGAGGTACAGGGGCTGCGGACCGAGCTGGCCAAGCTGCAGTCTGAGAGCAAGTCGGGCATCAAGGGCAAGGAGACGGCGCAGAAGGACGTTGACGCACTCAAGAAGAAGGTGCGTGTGCAGTGAATATCTTGATGCGTTTGCATGTGTGCACGTGGGGGGCTAACGGAGGAGCATGTGTCTGTGTGTGTGTGTGTATGTGTGTGTGTGTGTGCGTGTGTGTTAGCGGCGCTGTGAAGGAGTTGGCCGTGCTGGCGGCTGCTCAGCCCCTTGGCAACCCTGCCGACCCAGGCTGACTGTTTCATATCGTCGTTGCCAAGCTGCGCTGCACCTCGGCGAGCTTGCAGCCAAACGTCACGCGCTGAAGTAGGATTTCAGATCCGCGTGATCACTATCCCCAGCTTGCGAATAAGCACGACATGCGCAGAGCGCGCGAACGTGCGCGCGAGCACCCCCCCCCCCCACACACACACACACAACTTTTGCAGGTGACCGACCTGGAGACCCGGCTGCGCGCCGCGACACAGGACAAGCAGACCGCCTTGCAGGTGAGGCGGTGGGGCCATCTGACGTTCCTGTGTGCGCCTCACAACCCGTCCACACCCCCTTCAAGCTCCTCCTTGCCATAGTGGCTCTGAAGCCCTGCGCTCCATCCCGCAACAACTTGGACATCAAACGCAATACTCCGCCTCAGATTAGGTTGGATTGGCTGGTCAAAGTCGCCACCACCCACCCTGCACCCCCAGGACAAGGCCAACGTGGAGCGCCAGCTGAAGAGCATCAACAGCCGCAGCACCCTGCTGGAGAAGAACCTGGAGAAGCAGGGCGCGCAGGCCGAGAAGCGGCGCGAGAGCATCATGGTGCGGTGAAGAAATGTTCCAGGCCGCTCGTCCGCCGTCGGTTCAACTCAGGCAGGACAACAGGCCAATCGCCAGGATGGCGCTCGGCCAGAGGAGGTTGCTGCTAGGACGCCCAGTTGCAATGCTGCATCCCAGATTGTTGGCCCTGACCAATTACCCATTCAGAGCCACTGCACTCGCGTCGTCATCCCCGCACTCTCAGGTCGGCCTAAGCAAGACGAAGGACGCACTGTCTGTGACCGAGGAGCGCGCCAAGCAGCTGTCGCTCGACCTGCAGCGCACGCAGATGGATCTCTTTGCAAAGACAAGTGAGGGGCGCCGCGGCACGGCTGCTCGCTTGGCCGGTGCTGATCAATGCTGGGGGTGGGGACCGTAGGGCACCGCGATGCCCATCCCTCGGCCCATTTCAGCCGTTGTCTGCAGCAATTTGCGACCCCTGTTGCTCATTGTCAATCGTCACAGGCGAGTGCCAGGACCTTGAGGCGAGGCTGGGCGAGTCCCGCGCCTCGGCCTCGTCGCTGGCGGCCGAGAAGTCCAAGGTTGAGGCCAAGCTGTCCGAGGCGGAGGACCTGCTCGGGCGGATCACCGAGGAGAGGGACGGCCTGAAGGGTGGGTGGGGGGTCATCGGCGCCCGCCCAACATCGAAGCAGCTCGCCATGACACCGCACAGGCGGGCTCGTATGTGTGTATGGTGGGTGTGTGAGCCTCCAAGCTAAAATTGCCAGCCGTCGCTTGCGCCCACGAAAGCACGCAGCCTTTTTCCCCGGCTGGCAGCTTCCAGCTGGAGCTGCCTTGCCTGCAACTTGTCTATTCCTTTTTGCACCAAAGGCCACCCTCTTTCCCTCACATGCAGAGCAAGTTGAGGAGCTGACCGCTCGCGTGGCCACGTTAGAGCAGACGTCGTCAGAGCTCAACACAGAGCTGCTCAACTTGAGGGAGGAGCACCAGCAGGTGAACATGAGCCCCTGCCGGGCATTGACTCGATTGCCCATGGGTGGAATGCCTTTTTGAGTCAAAGTCAACGGAACATCCCCGCAGCTTCCACTCCTGCCAAGGCTAGCCGTAACCCTGCACCCCCATAAAACACATCTCCCACCCCATTTCGTCGCGCCCCCGCCGCGCTCCTTGAAGGTGTCGGCCGCGCGGGCGTCACAGGAGCAGGAGCTGGCGCAGACGCACGGCTCCCTGAAGGCGCTGAAGGCAGACAAGGGGGCGGTGGACGACGAGCTGGCCGGCCTGAAGGCCACGCACCAGGTGGAGGGCGTGTGCGTGCGTGTGTGCTTGTTCGTATGTGTGCGTATACGTGGTGTGTGTGTTTGTGCGAGTATGCGTGTGTGTTCATATGTGCATGTGTGTGTGTGTGTGTTGGGGGGAGGGGATGTCTGCGAGGCTGAAAGTGCAAGGTGCAGAGGTGTCCAGGAATGCAAGGCTTGCCGAATGGCTGGCGGGCACAGGACAGCGGCACGGTCCCTGGCGCAGACTGCGGACCGGCTGTGCAAGCCGCCGCCTTGCAGGCGGCGCCATCCTGCGTCTGCGGCGTTGGGGACCCATGCTGCAAACCTTGCATGCAAACTATACGGGAGTTGTTGCAATAGCGCCCTGCTCCACCCCTGGCCGGCCGACAGGAGCTGCAGCAGCTGCACCAGCAGGCCTCTACCGACCTGGCCTCCACAAAGGCCGCCCTCTCGAAGAGCGAGGAGGCGCGCGTGCGTGCGGAGGTGGGCCCCCTACCTTCTCGTTATCTGCGACGGCGGTCGCCGGGGATGTGCGTGTGCCTCGCCTCGCCTCCACTGCCATGCCACCCCTGGCTGCCCTAGATTGGCCCGTGCGCGCCACCCTTAACTGCCAAGAGGATTCGTCGCTGCAAGCTCACGCCGTACTGCGCTCCGCGGCATTCCTCGCCGCGCGTGCCGCAGGGCCGCCTGCCTGAGATTGAGGTGCTGCAGGGGCAGCTGACCTCGGCGCACGAGGAGCTCAGCGACGCGCGCTTCAGGGCTGAGGAGTTGCGCGCGGCGACGGCGGCCAGGGAGCAGCAGGTGGGGGCGGTGCGGGGCACAGCCCTTGCGGCAGCTGGCGGCGGGCCCCGGTGGCACCGCATCCTTTGCGCGTGGCTGAGGATGCGCGTGCCAGGGCATTCTGTTGCCAGCTAAGAGATCGGGCTGTTGATGGTTGTGCAAGTCCCCTGCTTTTGTTCCAGTAAGTCACTGTGTAGAGAGCCCTAACGGTGCCGTCAGCTATCAACCTTCCACCATCAAACGGAATCCTCACGCACCCCCTTGCTACCCCCTAAACCCTAAACCCTGGACTCTTTCCGCAGCTGGGCACCGACAAGCTGGCTCTGGAGCAGCAGGTGTCGTCTCTAACGGCGGCCTCCCAGCGGCTGGAGCGCGAGCTGGCGGCGGCGGCCGCAAAGGCGGGGCAGCAGGAGGGGCAGCTGAGGGACATTTACGACCTGTGCAACTCGCAGCAAGGTGGGGCGGTCGACGGCGCGCGCGATTGCGGCCGGCGGATGGCAAGTACACACGTGCGGGCCCACACGTACACACACATGTACACACACACCACATAAGGGCGGAATAATGGGTTCATGAGGAAAGTTATTGGCACCTAAACGCCCCGGCAGTAGAAGGACAGTTTTCGAAGCCGGCGAGCGGTCCAGCAGGGGAACAGCCGCGCTCAATGTCGTGTTGCTACCCGGCGCTGGGGCTACAACACCCAAATTGCGCGCAGGCAAGCTGCAGGCACTCATGGAGGAGAAGCAGGAGGTGCAGACCGCCCTGGACAACGCCTCGGGGCTGGCGGAGGCGCTCAAGGGTCAGCTGGCGCAGGCGGAGGCGGCCGCGAGCGCAGCGCAGGTGCGGCGGGCCCCGCGCCCCGCAGTCTGCACGTGGCCGCCGGCCTGGGGCTGCTTGCAGACCGCGAAACCCCACGTGCTGCATTGTACGGCAAGCATGACATCAAGGCATTTTGCATCAACATGCTGGTGCTGCGCATGAAGCCAAGTTCAGGACGTAACTGCCAACAACCTCAACACCCGCAGGACAAGGTGTCTGACCTGGCAGCCCAGCTGAGCCGCGAGGCCCAGGCCGCCGACGAGGCGCGCCGCGCGGCCGCGGCCAGCGCGGCTGAGGCGGCGGCGGCGCGCGCCAGCGGCGTATCAGAGGTCGCGGCGTGGCAGGCTGAGTCGGCGCAGCGCAAGAAGGTGCCTAATCCTGCCCACCAGTCACCAACTCGCAGCCAACTGCCTAGTCTTCGCTGTCGGGGCGGTTTTGATTCCCTTGGCACAGTCAACCCCGCAGGTTGCAGCTGCCGTTTTGCAACCCTGCATTCAGCTTGAAGCCCATCACCCCAACCTTGGACCCCCGCCTCCTTGCCCCCTACCCTCCTCCAACACCACCAACCGCTGCATTTCCGCCCCCGCCACCCCCGTAACCCGGCGCCCCAGGAGCACGAGGCCGCGCTGGCGGAGCTGCGGGGGCAGCTGGACGCGGCTGACCAGGAGCTGAATGACATGGCCTTCAAGGCGGTGAGTTATCGCATCGCACTTGCAAACTTCACAGAAAAGTAGAGCATCAAAGGTGGCCCGTCACAGAGTGCAAGGACCTGGCAGACGACCAGGCACCAGGCAGAGCTGCGAGGTCTCCGTGCCGGGCCTCGCCGGCCAGGCCGACGGCCGGTTGACGCGGCTGCGGCCCGCCGCGTCGAGCCCCGGCCCGCGTATCTTTGGGGATGGGGCTCCGTGCAGCTGGCCGTTGGCGGCGGCTGCTTGGCGGGAAGGTCGGCTGCGCAAGCCCCTTTCGCAGGGCTCAGGGCGCATCACGACGCTGGACCACTGCCGCAGTGTCCTTTGATTAAAGCTGTGATGACCAACCAATGATGCAATCATTGGATGAGCCTCGCCGGCAATTCTCCTGCTTTTCACTCCCCAAAGGACGAAGACAAGGCTGCGGCAGAGGAGAAGGTGGCAAATCTGCAGGAGCAGCTCAAGGTGTGTGTGTGTGTGTGTGCGCATGTGTGTACAAATTGATGTGTGTGTGTGTGTGTGTGCACGCGCGTGTGCGCGTGCTAGCACGCACGTGTGTGTGTGTGTGTGTTTGTGGGGTCGGGGAGAGTTAGGCCACCCGGGGGACATGCAAAGGCGATCTTTGGGCCCGGCCGGCCAGGCCACCGGCGACTGCCGTCGCCACGCTGCGCCCTCTCGCATGCAAACCAAATTACCTCTTGCCGGCGCTGAGCTCAGCAACGCCCCTGCTCCCTGCTGTGGCCCCGCACTCGCTAGGCCGCCCTGTTCAAGGCAGCTGCCCTTGAGGCGAAGCTGGCTTTGCCGCCGCCGCCGCTCTCGGACGATGCCACGCCGATCAAAGAGGCTCGAGGCGCCGCCGCGGCCGCGGAAGCCGAGGCGTCGGACCTGCGCGCGCGCGTGGCGGCGGCCCTGGAGGATGCCGCGCACGCGGCGGCGCTGCGGGAGGAGTTGGAGGCGCTGAGGGGCCGCGCGGCGGCGCTCGAGGCTGCGGCCGCCGCTGAGCTGGAAGCGGCGGCCGCCGGCGCGGCGGCAGCGGAGGGGCTGCGGGCAGAGGTCGAGGCGGCGCGGCGCGGCACAGCGGAGGCGGCGGCGGCGGCCGCAGAGGAGGCAAGCGCGCTCCGCGCAGAGATGGAGTTGCTGCGCCGCGCGGCGGCCGAGGGCGCCGCGGCGGCGGAGGGCCTGCGGGCGGAGGTCGCCTCGCTGACGCGGAGGCTAGCCGAGGCGGAGCGGCGGCGGGAGGAGCTCGACACTGAGCTGGCGGCGGCGGTTGCAGGGCTGCGCGAGGCGCGCGCCGCGCAGGAGGTGGCGCAGGCCGCTGCTGCGGCGGCGGAGCTGCGGCTGCAGCAGGCCGAGGCGGCCGCGGCCGCTGCTGCGCCTGCCGGCGGCGCCGCGGACGATCTCACTGACGAGCTGCTTCGTCAGGACGGCATGCAGCAGCAGGGCTCGGGCTCGTCGAGCCACGCCACGCGAAACGAGGGCGAAGCTGACCTGGCGGCGGCGCGCCGCGCGGCGGACGCCGCGGGCGAGGAGGCCGCGCGCCTGCGCGCGGCGCTGGCGGCGGCGGAGGAGCGGGAGCGGTCGACGGCCGAGGACGCGTCCGAGGCGCTGGCCGCCTCGGACGCGGCGATCTCTGAGGCGCACGGCGAGATCGCGCGGCTCAGGGAGGCGGCGCGGGCGGCCGAGGCGCAGGCAGCGGAGGCGGCCGAGGGGCGGCGGCGCGCGAGGGAGGAGGTGGGCGACGCGTGCCGCAACTGCATGGATGGCAGGTGGTGTCTGTCCTCTCGATTGTGGCGGTGTGATACGCTGACAAAACAAGAGCGAAACACCGGCGTCATGCCAGGCTGGTACAAACCCCACATACTCACCACCCAATACAGCAGCCGCCAATGTGCGTTGCCAGGCGCGACCCTGCTGCATGAATCCTACAATCCATCGGCGCAACTCTGAAACATTTTAATCAATCATGCGTCCAGGTGTCTCAGCTGCACGCGGAGGCTTCAGAGCTGTCGCGCCGCGCGGCCGCGCGCGAGGCGGCGCTGCAGCGGCAGGTGGAGGCGGTGCGCGCGGAGGTGTCGGCTGCACGGGCGGAGGCGGTGGCGCGGCTCCACGACGACGCGCTGCAGGAGGTGGGTTTTGAGTTTTGGTGTGTGGGTGGGGGC